GCCGCTCGCTTTTACTCCCACCCCACCCCCAGCCTTCTCTACGTGCCTTCACACTTTATTACCACACATTAAAAAACCATATGGGTCGTAATCGAGCTTAATAAATGTCAGCGTCGTAGCTCGCACGGGGACGGCCGGGGTTCAACGTCTGTTTGTCTTGTACATGAGTTTAATTAGCCTCTGCCATGCTACAGTGTGTGCCCGATTGTGTGAGGAGATGAAAATGAGGCTAATTAGATGTGATAGCAGGAGGCTGGGCTGATGTGCTGCACCTGCAGCCATCCTGCTTTGAGAGCGCTTGTGGGAGGTGGGAACATGCACACCTCGTTACCTAAAGTGTGCTGACCATAGATTGCATCGCTATAATGTTAAAAATACTGACCAGTGAAAGGTATAACACCAAGACGTGTACCTCCTACCTGAACATTGTTGCAAACTAAGCACACTGGTGGCATTTACACTGTCCTGTGGGAAAGTGCAACTAGACTGAGGAACAACAAAGAGTTCATGGCATTGGCCTCCCAACACATCAGATAGCAATCCAAACAATCATCATGTGCCAGGACAAGCCTGATCCACCGGGACCTCACTCCATATCCCTGACAACGGAAAGGATCTGATGGAGAATTTGTCAGAACAAGATCCCGGGAGAACCCCAGAGCTCCTGGGTTCATTCACGCTCCAACTGGTCAGAGCTGTTATGAGAAGCACACAATATTTAATCCTGGTAGTTTTAATGGCTGATTGTTGCACAGACAAATCGATGAGATGACGACAACAAAAAATCTGCAGTAAGGTTAGGGTTAACCGCCACCAACATTAGCAGGACGCTTACATTAGAGCTGCTTATTGTGTGTTTTGTTTGGGTTTCTGGCAATGTGTGGAATTACCACAATTAGGGAGGGGATAGGCTAACATATGAAACAGGACATGGCTGCCGTGTGATGCATTTATTTCAACAAAGTAACTGTATTCTAATTATAACTTATTTAAGCGGTAACTGTAACAGAATACAGTTACTCATATTTTGTGTTTTAAATATGTAACGCTGGTACATGTACTCTATTACTCCCCAACACTGCCTGCAGGCAAGATTTTTGAGCGTTGGCAGTGCAAATTGCATATTTTCCACACAATTCCATAACTTCCAGCTCTGTCACAGGGAAAGGAGTGAGCCGTGTGGGAGAAATAAATGAGGATCCATGTGAAGGTGGTTTATTGTAACATAAAATACAAGGAGAAAAATGGCAAAACAGAGCTAAAGCTAAACTGTACTGGGACAAAACTAAACTACAAAACAGCAAACCAGAACACGAACATGAAGGCGAGTCAGCAGAGGCATATGGAGGGTGATAGCAGGGAGAACACACGGTAGATTCACAGACAGACCAGCAACCAGTAGACACACAGAAGAACACAGGGAGACCATCTGAATACACTCACATGAGACACAGACCTTCACAATAAAACAGGAAACCCCTTCACAAAGACGCAGACTAAACACAGAAGTGAACCTACACTAAACATAAGACACAAACCCTAAAAACGAATAAAGAGAAACAGAGAATTCTAATAATAATCAACAAAGCGCAGAAAATAATCCATGATGCAAAAATAAACCAAAACATAAGAAACTCAGACCCAGCACCGTGACAATTACCAGCATTGATAACGCAGGCAGCTTCAGATATGAAGTAAGACTTGTTTTTCATTTTCTTTCTTTCTTTTTTTTTTTATTGGAAATGCAAATAAATGTAGAAAAACTTGATTGCATTTTATATTATCTTCCATAGACCATGTGACCATTGTGAGGAAAAGTTTTTACATTTAACACTTCATTCATAAAGTGACCAGAACGTTGTCCAGCGGGAAAAAGAACCTTTTTTCTCTCATTTCTTAACTTTGTCATCCGAGTGCATTTGACAGCTAGCCTGTTGTTTTCTGTTTTTTACTATCACACAGTAAAGCTCTGTACTGCAGACCAGTAGTAACTGCTTTACAGCTGATTTTAACCTCATCATGTCAGCATCTTTGCAGATTCTTTCAGTATTACTGTTGACATGGATATTTCTCATTACTAATCTTGACTTCCAAATATGACAGCAGCTCGCCTGGTATTCTGAAAAGCCATTTAATTAAACTCATGGACAGTTTTTTTTTGGAGAGCTGGTCTCACTTGAGTTTGCTTCATTGGGCTCTATTTGCATTTGTGCAAAAAAAGAAAAAGGTTAATAATTATTTTTAGTTTGCTTTGAGGGCTGAGAGAGACCGAGCATAAAACACACTGAGTACATCCTTGGCCTCTTTTACTGCCTCCCGTTTCTACCTCGACCACACATAGACATGTTGCAAGGGTGTCTGTTGAAACAGTGATGATTAGAGGGAGGGCAAAATGATCAATATTATTATTTTCTGTTAATGCAGCTTATATCAGAACGATTAAAATCAAATGATTTTTGCCTTGGCAGCCAACAGAGATGGATTTAACCCTGAAAAATTAACCTGATGATATAAAGAAATGCGTCGCCTTTCTCACCAGCTTTGGGAGAACAGTTTCAGGTTAACCAGAAGAAAGGGAAACGCTGGCGTGGTCTGGGAAACAAATACTCCAAAGATTAAAGGAAATTCTTCTCTTATTTGTTTGCTGCAGCCAGCACAGCTCACTGTGACCGAGCTTTGATAGAAACAGAATGTCATTTTCAGGCGTCCTCTGCCTGCTCTCTCAGACCTGTCACATCACCCTAAGCAGGAACACCAGAGGATCACTCCCATCTCAGGCCAGCCTGTTGACACATAAAGAGCAGGAAGCGTGTCGTGAGGATAGAGTGAGTGATGACGGACTGATGGCATTTATGTGTTCTCCTGCTTAAAGCACAGCAGTGATGAGAGTCTGCAATCAATAGATGTCAGTGGTGTAGTGTAGATCCCCACTGACTTCAACACTCAAAACGGCAACAATCAAGCAACTCCCCTTTAAGAAAGCACTTGGTGACAGTGGAAAGGAAAAACTCCTTTTTAACAGGAATAACAGGCTCGGGGAGGGACGGCCATCTGCCTCGACAGACAGCTGATCATCAGTTGTTGTACAGGTCAGGCGCTCACAGTGTAATCAAGTCAGAGTGTGACACACTGAGCTGTCTCACAGTTCAGTTCAGTTTTATTTATACAACAGCAGTCGCCTCCAGAAGGTAAGGAATACGTATCCGAGTATCCGTAATTGATTGATTGTAATCTGTGTGCCACGTCCAGATCAATGTGTAACTTTTATGCAATGAGTGTTTTTTGTGTATTTTTGGTGACATGGAGAAGGTAAAACATGCCTTTATTTCAACATGGCTTGACTGCTGTAATGCTGTTTTTTTGGAGTCAGCCAACGATCTCTTGCTCGTCTTCAGCTCATTCAAAATGCTGCTGCCCGCCTCTGAACTGTTACCCACAGCAATGAACGTGTAACATCTGTCCTGTCTTCTCTTCATTGGCTTCCTGTTCGTCACAGAATTAATTTCAAAGTCCTAACACTGGTTTATAAATGCCTTAATGGTCTTGCTCCCCCATACCTTTCTGAGTTACTTCAGCCTTATATTCCTTCACGGACCCTCAGATCAGCTGACCAGCTGCTGTTGGTTGTCCCAAAATCAAGGCTTAAACGTAGAGGAGAACGAGCCTTTTCAGTTATGACCCCAAAACTTTGGAATACGCTGCCTTTAAATATTAGACGGGCACCTTCGTTTCCTGTTAAAATGCTTTTGAAAACACACCTTTTTTCGATAGTGTTCAGACTGGCTTGAGTTGAAATGGTTTCTATGTGTTTTATTATGTTTTATGTGAGTGTCAGTGGTTGTATGTTTTGTTTCTGTACAGCACTTTGGGCAAACTTTTTGTCTTTAAACGTGCTATATAAATAAACTGGATTTGGATCTTCTGTCTAAAACTGCAATAAATCAAACTACCATTAAAAATGAGAGATTGTGATTTCTTTGTCCCCCTATGGATTCAGCATTCATCGCCCTCTGGTGGTTTCCTTCCTGTGTGATAAGCTTTGAATGTTTTCTGCTTTCAGACTGGATTGTCTGACTCGACATCACTCTTGTTCCCCGTTTAGCGATCTGTCCACAGGATTTACATTAGAGCAGCAGACATAAATGGCTCCGAGATGCTTAATAAGATATCAGACTGTGGGTGTCCACAGAGAAAATAGTGCTATACTTTACTTTGTGCAGCACAGAGGTCTAAACTCTGTTTACCCTCCGGCCTGCTGAGGTGCCAACTGGCAGTAAATCCTGAGCACAGCAGGCAGGTTAGCACTTAAACAGCTTTGGGCAACATCTGTGCAACTACTGTATCATTTCATGACACTCACCTGCTGGCAACAATGATTTAAAGCTCCTCTCATATAATCTGCTGTTATGTACTCTTCTGCAACACGTGTTTTGCAGGTTTTTTGGTGGGGCTTGTTTTTTAGATAATAAAATATCACTCAAACAAAATAAAGACATTCATAGCGATGTGTGTGCATATTTGAAACGAGGCAGCCAGTTGATTCTGCATTCAGACTGCTTCCTGTGAATCGGTCAAATACTGGAGTCCTTCATCTAACACGAAAACATGTTTTTGTCCGAACATTCGTCCATCTCTTCAAATCAGGAGACTCAAAAACTGAAATGAGTCATCGAGCGTTTTGCTGTTCAGATGTGTAATCACACACTGAGCTGGACGCAGGATGAGTAATCCCTGCTCTGACAGTTCAAAATAAATATATAGAAACATCCTCAAGTGTCTGAGATGTGCAGGCGCCGTTTATCGCAGCCGTCGCAGAAACGTGTCTGTTTGTGTGGCACGTTAACAGTCACCTCTGTGGTATCACGTCAGCTTTTAAAGTTAGACAAATGTACAAGCTGAAAGTGTGAGAAACTTTTAGCCCTCATTATGAGTGTTGTTATTCAGAACATCGGGCTGTCTGCTTCCATCTTTTTGAATCTTTTTCTTGTGTTTGTCTTCAGGTGGAGCGGGAGATAGCTATTCTCAAACTCATAGAGCATCCTCACGTTTTAAAGCTGCACGACGTCTACGAAAACAAGAAATACCTGTGAGTATACCCCTCCCTCAGTCAACACTGTTAACACACTCTTTTTTTAAAATATAATGTGTGAAAATACAGTTTTGTTTTTCTTTATTGTTTAACAGAGTTAGGAAAGTTTGTAGGCTTTGAATATAGCAGGTACTGCGTTAAAGCAGCGGTCCCCAACCCCCGGGCCTCGGACCGGTACCGGTCCGTGAGTCGTTTGGTACCGGTCCATGAGAGTTGAGGCTCAGGTGTGAAATGTCTGGTTTTCAGGGTTTTTATCAGTTTTCAGCATTATTTTGTTGTCGTTTTTATCGTTTTTATCGTTTTTATTGTTAACTCGGTTTTCCTGGGTCTTTTCACCTGTGTTATGAATAAATCTTCTTTTTTTCGGTACCGGTACTAGTTTTATTTTGTTGTATTTATCCGCGACACCTTAAAGGCCGGTCCGTGAAAATATTGTCGGGCATAAACCGGTCCGTGGCGCAAAAAAGGTTGGAGACCGCTGCATTAAAGTGCTCGTCCAAATGTTAATGTATCCAGGAGAACTTTAGCTTTGAACTTTTTAACTCGCGCTGCCACAAGTTTCAAATAAAACTGACTGATAAGTGTGAAGTAGTCAGACTCGAACGTCAAGGTACGTGATGGGGAAGCAGACTTAGGTTTCCAGAGGTGAGCAATTTATTTACAGTGAACTCCATCTTACGTGAAACTTAACAAAACTTCCCCCCAAAGTAACTAAATTAACAAAACTCAAAGTACATGGATGCAGCAACACAGCTCACCTCTCCTCCCTCAGTCTGGCAGAGACTGGCTGTGTATAGGCCCATCAATTTCCCTTCAGTTAGTGCAGCCAGTGCCACTCACTAGAGCTGACCGACCTAAAACTCTACACAGATGACTAAGAATGACAAAAACCTCCTCTCACTTCTGATTAGCACATTTACACAGCTAAACGGCTCTATTTATAAAAACAAAAGATTCAACAAATCCATTCGGACCTGGAAACAAACAAAAGGAAGCATTTCTATGGTAGAAGAAACCCCTCCTCTTGGTTCAACCTGCTGATGTCATATCTGACATCATCAGCACTTTAAAATGAGGAAATGCTAGGCGGGCCTTTCCCCACACCTGACCTGCATGAAGACTGAAAGAAAGAACAAAGTATGAACAAATGACTTAATCTGCAACATAATAAAATATAAAGAAACGTGTAACTGAGTATTTACCTTAATTTGCCAGCAACAGAACGCTTGCACAAACAAGCCCAGGTTAGTCGGACAGCAGTGTTACTTTGATACAATAATGTGCATAACGTGCAAGAAAAGTCAACACATCTGGGACCCGTGGAGAGCATTACAATTGCTCATCTACTTTGTCACAATGAGCATGATGCCAACTCAAATTAACAACAGCACGAAGGCCTTTCATCAGTCCGCTTAAACCTGAAGAAATCGAACCCATTCATCCAGAGTTGAGTTATAAAAATATAAATATATAAAATGCTAATCTAGTAAGTAAACGTGGTGTATTGTTAAAATGAATATAGTCATTATTAGACACATTCATTTTCAAATTATGGGTAATAAATTTATTCATATTTTTTTAGATTAAGTCATTCATTCATCCTCAACTTCAGGCCTCAAAGATGATTCAGACACGGTGTCCATAAACAAGCTTGGAAACTGTTGCTATTGTGAATCCACAGAGAACGATGCTACACTCTCATATTAGGAGAATTGTAATTTTGCGACGGCTCTTTAACGGCTGACAAACAGCACTGATAAATCAAACGTCTAACTAACAGTCGGCAGCACTGTACAACAGTACAACGTTTACACGAGCAGCAATCTGAGCTCTGGGATTTGATTAGAAATGCTTCTTTGGTTCCCGTCACTTTAACCGGCCCCCGGCGACTCAAGCGTTCGTGTACGGGTTTTATTGTATACATTAATCTCATGCATGTGATGGCTGCGCTCCAGTGGCGTGGCTTAATATGTTGTTCAATAATTGATAAAGGTGCTGCTGTCAAATGGAGCGGGAATTTGTTTTCTTAATGTTGCGAGGACGGGGACGAATGGTCATCATGGATGCAAACAGTTTGAAATTCTCACACTCACAAATCACGCCCGAGCGTGTTTTTAATTTAAATAGCTGTGATGGGTAAATGCTTGAGCAGATCCCTTAATCTGCTAATAAATCAGGCCCCGGGGAAGACGGGCTGCAGGAGGAGCCGGCTCAGCACAGGAGATGGATAAAACCACAAACCCACATGGGTTGTGGATTTTCTCAGGGATTTATGTTGTGCATCAATGTGGTGACTGCAACACATCACAGCTAAATACTCTTTAGTTTATAACCCAATTATTTCAATAATGCTTCTTTCGATTTGAGGTGAACATGAACCAGAGGATCTGTAGGGACTCGGATGGGAAGTACATGATGTTATGTTACATGATTGGAGGTTCTTTACTAACAAAACTGTGGGAGATCTTTTAGTTTTGGTCCAGTAAATTACACAGATTTCTGTTATCGTGTGTTTTACTTTACTATTTTATAGCAAAAATTGCGACGGCTGAAATAAGGTTTGTCATCTCAGGTTGTGTTACATTTCTAGGCAATCAAACTGAAAGCGACTGACCACGAGAGGTCGCTTTTCTCGAATTGTTTCTATCTGCAGAAACATTCTGGCTAATCCGAGGCGTGTTTTCAACACATTACTGATTAGTTCAACACACAACTAATCATTCCCTTTATATGTCTATGCGTCTTCTTACTTTGCCTTGGAGTTAGGGCTGCTCAATTAATCGAATTTTAATCACGATTACGATCTGGGCTTTCAACGATCATTAAAAATGACTGAGCCGATTATTAGCCCCTCATTTATCCGCGACACCTTAAAGGCCGGTCCGTGAAAATATTGTCCGTGGCGCAAAAAAGGTTGAGACCGCTGATTAAGAGGACCCGAGGGAAGCTCAGAAAGCTAAGCAGAAGTTATTTAGAGAGGAGAGTGACTGCCGTTGGTTGAAAAGAGAGGTTTAAAAAAAAAAAAAAAAACTTCAGTGGTGTTGCACACTATTTTATATTATTTTTAAAAGTCATTATTCAATAAATTGTTATCCCTTTAAAGCCGGTAAGAGCAGCACACTGTTTTGTGTAACTATTTTTAAATCCCTGTAGAACCTGAACCGTGTAAGCTAGCGCAATAATCTGTTTTGCATATGAAACTTACATCTTATGCCATCAGCTTCTCCTCGGTCACGGTTTCCTTCCACATAAATTGCATAAAAAGCGCTTGCAGGAACAAAAACATAATATTCCAGAAACACGCTTTGCCGATCCGATCAGCTGTTCGTAACACTTCGCACATTGAAACAGACTCACCGCTAACTATCACATGTCCGCCATTTCCTGCCCGAAACCGGAAGTGATGTAATTTTCGCGGAAAATGTAGGTTTTTTTTTTACTTGTAGGCCTTAAAAGCCTATACTGGTCATGTTTGACTTTTCTGAATAGTTTCTGGGATGCTTAGAACTCGAATTGCACTGCTGGAAATAGTTTATTTTTCTTTGCAAATTTGCATCATAGGATTGTTTTTGTTTTTCCTGCAGTATATAAAAATTGGTGTATCTCCAAAATAAAACTATGAAGACACTCAAAATAAATTTCCTGTTGTTGTAAACTATTTTTTGCAACTTTTTTGTATTTAAAGTTTTGAGGGATAAACCTCTTAAATTTCTCTAACTACAAATATATGTTAAAAAACAAAAACAATTTTCAATTTTTTTGTAGTTTATTGCACTTTTTTGCAATTAATGTAATTACTATGGACTTAATGCATACATATTATTAAAATATGGGCTATAACAGTTGTATAGCAACTTGAAATGCTCCCACAAATGGCACTACAGCATGTAAAAAATAATATAAGCTCTGGCGGACTTGGTTCTATAGTAGGTCTTAAAGGGTTAAATAAATATCGTAAAATAATCGTGATTATCATTTTTGCCATAATCGAGCAGCCCTACTTGGAGTCACAACAAAAATGGAAAGCAGGCCGATGTTCGCACACATTGCAGAGGACGGGGTCCAGACGCACCCTAAACCATTGGTTGTGTGTCTTCACTCAAAGTGTTCGGCTAAAAGTCCCTCACACTTTCAGCTTCTACATTTGGCTAAGTGGCACGATGTCACATGCACGTGGTAGTGGTCACACAAACATTTCTGCGACAGTTGTGATAAAGACTTGCAGCTGCAACACAATTTATTAACCTTCACTTCATCACTTCAAGATAATGATCTTATCTTTTGGAGGGAAGCAGCAGAAAACAATGAATTCTTCTAGGAGACGGTTCTTTAAGAACCCCACGTTGCAGACACGTGGCCAAAGACTTCTTACTAATTTATGGCTGTGGGTTGTTTTGGCTTTGTTCCTTATATGTAGTGAGCTGTCAGGACAGGTTAGTATATTAATTACAACAAAAAGTGGTCATGTTGAAGGTTTCTCTAAAATATTATTATAAAAAGAAAATTGGGCTAAAAATGTGTTTATGGTGATCAAACTGCATCTCAGTAGCCCTAAAAACTGGCTTTTGTTACAATGTGGGAAACTCCATTATCAATCAGACATTAACTGTCCAGGTTCTCAGTCACCATCAGTGACAACTCTAACTGCACAAAAAGCCAGTTTTTCAGTTCAATTCAATCCAGTTTTATTGATATGAACAGTCACCTCGAGCAGAATGATTACTCTCTTTGTGTTGGGAGAACAATTGAAAACATTTACATCTTCTAATAGGGTTAAAACTGCTGATGACATCACAGGGTTAAAATGCTAATGTATAACTGTAATACTACTGTACAGCAGTCCCTCGTTTGTCGCGGGAGTTACGTTCGAAAAATAACCCACGATAAGTGAAATCCACGAAGTAGCCAACTTTATGTTTTTTACAATTGTTATAGATGTTTTAAGGCTGTAAAACCCGTCACTACACACTTTATACACTTTTCTCAGACAGGCGTGAACATTTTCTCTCTTGTTTACTCACAAAGTTCAAACCTTCGTAGAAAAAGAAGTCCAGTGTTATAGAATGAAACCAAAGGCTCCCGCAGGTGACGACGTTTCGTCGACATTGTTGTTTGTTGGGGAGAAAACTTACAAACACACAGTGCAGCACTTCAGAGTCGCACTGCTAGGATCGAAGATTTATGTAAATTTGACAAACTGAACACATTCTGTACTGTACAGGAGACACGGCACAAGATTGATTGACGGTGGTCTACAGCCAATCAGGACACAGAACACAACGCGCTGTAAACATAAATAAATAGAAAATAGAAAGTATGCAAAATTGCACAAAAAACCCGCAAAACAGCGAAGCCGCGAAAGGTGAACCGCGATTTAGCGAGGGACCACTGTAGACATGACTGCAGCAGTAACTGCTCCTTGTTTTACTGGTATTGCAGGTTTCAGAGGTTTCCCGTCACATGTATTTGGCCTCTGTCTTCTTTTGCAGATACCTGGTGCTAGAGCATGTGTCTGGTGGGGAGCTTTTTGATTACCTGGTGAAGAAAGGCCGGTTAACACCGAAAGAGGCTCGAAAGTTCTTCAGACAAATCATCTCCGCTTTGGACTTCTGCCACAGCCACTCCATATGGTTTGTCACTCAGAGACAAATATTGGGTTTTATCAGAGGGTTGGGTTTTAGCTAGGAGTGCTGGGGAGAAATGGACTTTCCATGTAACTCTGTTCTACAGGGCAAACATCAGGGTGCAGTAAAACAGATAATTTATCACAGCAATTTGTAATAATACATTTTCAAAATTACACCAGTGTGTGGGTGAGTCTCAGGTAGCTCCGCCCACACACATCAAACGGACCAGGCTCTGCTCTGAGCCATTATAAGTGCGACCATACACAATGAACTGATCTCGTTGCCTTTGCTCAAACGATGGGGACCAGGTCTGCAGCTACTCTCAGGAAGTTGCTGCCTTGAAAGCAACTTTGGTGTGTTAATACGGCAAAAATAGGACAGGCATCAGTCTGCTATCAGTGTGACTGAATGAGGTCAAAGGGCAAGTAAATGTAATCTGTTTGTATTAATACGCCAGTTAACTGTGATAAATCTGCAAAAATTGCAAGTCTGTGTCGGTTTCTTCAAATCTTTTGTCATCCTCACACCACACAATTAAACAAAATGAAGTGCTCAGTGTCCAGCTGAGTCTCGTATTGCAAAGACATGTTGCAGATTTGAGGTCAGGCTGACTGCAGCGTGAGGGCAAAAATCTCTTTACCAAATGCAGTATCGTAAAACTGAGGCAGTCATAATGATAGTTAACAGAGTTCATTGCCCCGGCCTGCTTCTTCACCTTTGAGAGAATTTGCATTTAGTTTAATGTGCACTTAACGAACTAATAAAACGATCAAAGCATTCTTACTGTAGTTTATATTCTAGGGATTGTTTATGACTTTTCTATCGTTTCTACAAACACTGGAGTGTTTGCTCCATTCGGATGTGTGAAGAACGGGTTTCCTCCTGCAGCCTCTTTCCTCATCAGCTGCAGCCGGCGCTGACTTTAGAGGCTGCAGCTCCTCTCGATCTCTTTTCATCTCTGAGACCACCTTTAGTTCCTCCACACATGACTGCAACACAAGAGCAATTGCACATCAAACATGTTCTGCCTTTGAGCCTCAGCGTTAGACATCAAGTGTTCGACTTTTAAGAAGCACATTTATTCTCCGCTGTGTGTTTTCTGTAAGAAAGACGCACAAAACTCGAGCTCTGTATGTCTGCGTTTTATGTCCCTCGCTGGTTTTAAGTAAAACTGTGGACTCGTATTTGACTCTTTCAGTCGCTGATGAGTTGCAATCACCTTGTCTTGATTACAGAAAACATTAAAGGCCGTTTCCCTGAGGAGGTCGGGACATGACTGCGAAAGCTGGCACAGCTCTGATGACCTTCTGTATTCACTACTTTGAGTCGAGCCTCTCGGGACAATTTAAAACTGCTAAACTGATCATTGTGGAACAGATTCTTACAGTGCATGATCCTGGTGTACTGTAGAGGCACCAGTGTTCACACTGGGAACATCACAAAATGGGAAAATGAATGTTACATTTTTAAAAGATGGACGTCCCATCACGTGTTATTCTCTGCCGCCCTGGTTTAAAAGCATCAAGCTGATCTGGCTGTCACCATCACCCCTGTCCTAAAGCATAGCATGCTTCATCCTCCCACGTGACTTTAATCAGAACCATAATTTACAAAATCAATTTGTAGACTCGACTCTCTATAAGTAACGTGTTCACTGAGGTCACAGAGCAACTGAAGAGTCATTTTCCAATAGTACTTTGTAATGTCACCATTCCTGAAGGATCCTGTGGACCTCAGCGTGCAGACAATAAGACCTTGAATAAAGGTTAGAAACCAGTCTACGCTCCAGGTTCAATTATGTGTTTACTTGTTCTTTACTTGCCCTCAGACTGTTTAGCACCACCAGGGTTGCAGCTGAAAATATAAGGCCCATGTGCATGTAGAGTCATGGCTCCAGCTGGGCTCAGATTGTCTCTTATTATTTCCTCCTGTGATGTTTGTCCTGTTGAACAGAGTCATATAACCAATTCAAGTCCCTTGAAAAGCCACCACCAAGAAAATGTATCACGAGTAGACTCATGTAAGGATCTGTCTTTGCTGTTCTCTGGCAGCCACAGAGATTTGAAGCCCGAGAACTTGTTGTTAGATGAGAAGAACAACATCAGGATAGCAGACTTTGGCATGGCGTCTCTGCAGGTCGGGGACAGTCTGCTGGAGACCAGCTGCGGGTTAGTATTCAAGTTATTGACTTGCAAATTATACCAAGTGCATGTCTGACACATTATGCTTTGAGTTCTTTATAGCGAGCGCCAAACATGAACATGCTGAACAGAACAATAGATGTTATTACTGTTCTAAATGTAATCCATGGTTATTATTTGCACATCTTGATTTGCATGACTTTAAATCCCTTTAACTCGCCAGTCTTTCCATTTACCTCTCAGCTGAAAACCTGCTTTAGCTCTTTGTTTCTGACTCTCTCGAGAGACATAATGGTTCACAGTGTCATTTTTCCAGCATCTTGTTAGAACCAGTTGCTATAAATCAAAAGCGTAATGAAAAATGATTGTTCCAGCAGTAGAAACCTTTCCTAGTATTTTGTTGTGTAGTCTTTGTGGGCTCTACAGGATATGTGCTGGTCAGCTGTAGGCCAAGCAGCATTTCCCAGAGTCAGCCATGTGGAACGGCTAAAGCTTGGCTGCTCTGGCTCAGAAATGCTGCACAAAGCAGGAGGGAGACAAATCTCTGCAGTCCAAGTGCTCCAGTATACAAACATGTGGACAGTTTGACCCTGTGCTGTACATGTTGTGTGCTGGCTGTGTGTCCGAATCGCCAATAAAACAAAATATGATGTGGAAATGTTGGCAAATCTGACATGTGATGTACCGATACATGCCGAGTCTTTCTTTGGGGCGTACCTCATAGTCTGATAGGATGGATACTGGAAATCTTCCATATAACTGAACCAGTATAGGGCGTCCTTTACTTCTGGACCTAGTTTAGACTTCTGCACATGGATTTTTTATCTGCATATTTTCAGTAATTTATGGCTGTTTGCTGGGCATTCAGTGCAGCTGGCAGTACGCGTGCATCGATTGGATTCAGTGGGGCTTTCGAGTCGTTAATAGTCTTCAAGCTCACGCTGACACTGTGTCCGTGTTGGGGTCTGTCAGATTAGTCTTTCGCTGAGCGATCCTTTAAATATCTCTCGTAAGTCAAAAGATTCTTTCACTTCATGTGACGTTAATGGAATTCATTAAATGAGCAAGCTGCCTCCAGCAGGAAGGATGAAAATTAGCTCGGGTGTAATTAGATTGCAGTTAGTGTATTTTGACATGACTGTGTTTGAGTAGTTCAGATCGACTGGGTTTACATACATTATCATAATTAAGTATGTTGCGAGTGAAGATGGAGTGTGTGTTTACTCTGCGAGTTTAGATGGGATGCTGATGGAAGAAGTCATGCTCTGTGCTTCGTTTATTCCATGATGAATCCGCACAGGGAAGCTCCAGAGTACAGTTAGTTCTGCTGCAATTGTGCAATTATTAGATTATTTAGAATGCAGACATGAGAGGAAATACTAGAGAAAAATGACCATGTTTCAAAAAGCAGAAAGTGCAATATTTAAACAGGAAGGCAAAGAGCACAGAGCCCATATTTTGGCACCGTGCATTGTCAGTACTTAACGCTCCCTTTGACTCTATCACAGCTCGTGGCGCTCTTTCTGCAGCACTTCAGATTCTTTCACTTTCTGGCATATTTTCGCTCATTGCTTCTGCAAGTGTCTGCTACGACCTTGAGATTCTTTATCCATCTTCCTGCACTGCTCTTTGAACACTCAGATTTTCACTGATGGGGGTTGTGAACTGTGAGAAACATGGCAAAACTTTTGTGCCTCTTCAGGTCGTCTGTTGTGGATTTTGAAGGATTATTGTTCTATTATAGAGGATTTTCTCTTTGAAATTGTCTTGCAAAGTCTGACAACCATCACAGCAGAGATGTCTGTCTTACTACAACCTTTTTATGAGTTTGTATAACTTTTGTTTAAAATTATTATTATTTTTTGCCGTGTGCTGGATGCTGCCGTGCGTTATCCAATAAGCCGAGCCACCACAGCACAAGATTCTGTTTTGAGGCTGTTCGATGTTATGTAATACTCTTTAAGCATAAAGAAATCTGTCATGCAATAAAGACTGATGTCATTATTTTAATGCATGTGAGGTAAAGACTTGCGTGTTTCAAGGAACTGCTATCCAGAGCATCAGCTGATACTTCCCCAGTGTATTTATTGTGCTTCATGTTGAATCCTGAATGGCCGCCTCTTCTTACAGATCTCCACACTACGCCTGCCCAGAGGTTATCAGGGTAAGTGCTCGCTCTCTTCTTGTCTGTCTCTTTCTTTCATTCAATAATAGGAGCTCTGAATCAGAGTGGCTCTTACATCACTGCTCCATCCTCTCTGCATTCACCAGGCTTCCTCGTTCCCTCTCATTTGTGCGTCTCTATTGCCATATTTCTTTTTATTCCTACTTCCAGCTGCCCATACCTGTACATCTTCATAAAGTCAAGACTTTTTCAGTTTGATCCCCTTTTCTGTGATAGGGTCTTAGTTTTGATTATCATGGGGCACTTCTATCAACAGTATGCCCCGAGTGAGTGCTCTGTACTCTCTGAGGGAAAGGGTTGTAATCTGCATGGTTTATTTTTTTATTAAATATTTCTCCCAAGTCGAAAACACAAAGTTGCTGTTTAAAAATGACTGTTTCAAATGTAAGAAATAGACATTGTTTTTAGTGGACAGCAGCCCAGCTGTGTTTCTATGCTGTCAACATTCAAAATAGTTAAGCATTGAACACATGACTGTAAAATCAAACTGCGACAAAGGGCGGTACTTTGGTTCTTTTCAAGGTTTAACCCCCAAAACATCATTAATTATGAGAATTTGTGATTTAGTGTTGTTGTTTACTAATAATTCTTCATTAACAATTCTACAGTGGCTTGCAAAAGTGTTCGGCCCCCTTGAACTTTTCCACATTTTGTCACATTACAGCCACAAACATGAATCAACTTTATTGGAATTCCACGTGAAAGACCAACACAAAGTGGTGCACACGTGAGAAGTGGAACAAAATCATACATGATTCCAAACATTTTTTACAAATAAATAACTGCAAAGTGGGGTGTGCGTAATTATTCAGCCCCTGAGTCAATACTTTGTAGAATCACCTTTTGCTGCAGTTACAGCTGCCAATCTTTTAGGGTATGTCTCTACCAGCTTTGCACATCTAGAGACTGAAATTCTTGCCCATTCTTCTTTGCAAAACAGCTCCAGCTCAGTCAGATTAGATGGACAGCGTTTGTGAACAGCAGTTTTCAGATCTTGCCACAGATTCTCGATTGGATTTAGATCTGGACTTTGACTGGGCCATTCTAACACATGGATGTGTTTTGTTTTAAACCATCCCATTGTTTCCTGGCTTTATGTTCAGGGTCGTTGTCCTGCTGGAAGGTGAACCTCCGCCCCAGTCTCAAGTCTTTTGCAGACTCCAAGAGGTTTTCTTCCAAGATTGCCCTGTATTTGGCTCCATCCATCTTCCCATCAACTCTGACCAGCTTCCCTGTCCCTGCTGAAGAGAAGCCCCCCCAGAGCATGATGCTGCCACCACCATATTTGACAGTGGGGATGGTGTGTTCAGAGTGATGTGCAGTGTTAGTTTTCCACACAGAGCGTTTTGCATTTTGGTCTCATCTGACCAGAGCACCTTCCACATGTTTGCTGTGTCCCCCACATGGCTTGTGGCAAACTGCAAACTGGACTTCTTATGGTTTTCTGTTAACAATGGCTTTCTTCTTGCCACTCTTCCATAAAGGCCAACTTTGTGCAGTGCACGACTAATAGTTGTCCTATGGACAGATTCCCCCACCTGAGCTGTAGATCTCTGCAGCTCGTCCAGAGTCACCATGGGCCTCTTGGCTGCATTTCTGATCAGCGCTCTCCTTGTTCGGCCGGTGAGTTTAGGTGGGCGGTCTTGTCTTGGTAGGTTTACAGTTGTGCCATACTCCTTCCATTTCTGAATGATGGCTTGAACAGTGCTCCGTGGATATTCAAGGCTTGGGAAATCTTTTTTTAGCCTAAGCCTGCTTTAAATTTCTCAGTAACTTCATCCCTGACCTGTCTGGTGTGTTCTTTGGACTTCATGGTGTTGTTGCTCCCAATATTCTCTTAGACAACCTCTGAGGCGTCACAGAGCAGCTGTATCTGTACTGACATTAGGTTACACACAGGTGCACTCTATTTAGTCATTAGCACTCATCAGGCAACGTCTGTGTGCAACTGACTGCACTCAGACCAAAGGGGCTGAATAAATACCCACACCCCACTTTGCAGTTATTTATTTGTAAAAATTGTTTGGAATCATGTATGATTTTCGTTCCACTTCTCACGTGTGCACCACTTTGTGTTGGTCTTTCACCTGGAATTCAAATAAAATTGATTCATGTTTGTGGCTGTAATGTGACAAAATGTGGAAAAGTTCAAGGGGGCCGAATACTTTTGCAAGCCACTGTATTTCTATAAATCTGGGACTACAAATGATTTTAGATGCTAATTTTATACATTTTTGAGAAATGAGGGCTGCGATTTTTGGTCAGTTAATGTGTTAAGGCCCAGAGCAGCCAGGGTGATGTTTGGGAAACATTTTAGGATGAAGCTCATCTCTGTGTGTGTCTGCATGTGTGCACCAGGGGGAGAAGTATGATGGGAGGAAAGCCGATGCGTGGAGCTGTGGAGTCATCCTGTTTGCACTTTTAGTGGTAAGTGACTTCTCCTACTGCACTGCAATGGCAGAAAATGGCCTGGACATTGTGCTTTTACAGTCATTTTGACACGCGTTTGGCATCTTCATGCAACAGCAGTGAAATTCATAACATTTCCAGACACAACCAAAATATTGAAGAGCTGCAAACATTGCAGAAAAAAGAAGCAAAAAGACAAAACACTGAGATTAAAAACAGCTACAATTGTGTGATAAATGACCATAAAGTATTACTAAGAGATGCGAAATGCCCACAAAGAAACCAAATAGTTTAAATATAATATGTAATGACAAACTGAACAAAAATACAAAAAGGTGCTAAACAAAATCAAAAACTCATGAAGAGGGATGCGAACAACTGTAAAAAGAGGGGCATCGTATCCACGAGGAAGCACAACAGAATCATAACATTAAAATAGTTACATTTTCTAAATCTGGCAACTCCTGATCTGATACAACATGACAAGGGAAAAAAACCAAAGGGGCGGAGTTAATTCAGCTTTTTCCTTGGCAAAGTATTTATACTGTATGCAGCCGGGATAAAGTAAAAAAGATCGTGAATTACTTCTGGACAAAGTAAATCACCTGATGGGAGCACTCTGCATCCTTTGGTACACCTGGAGTCTGTGGTTTCCACCAGCCAGGATTAAATTAAAGATGGGCTGCTGGAAACACAATGTGTACTGATAAAATATTAAAACCACATTATAAATAAAATGGGTACAGACAGGATGTTCTCCTTTCCTTTGTAACGGGCCTCTTTGTTCTAAATTGTGAATCGACAAATAACCAACTGCAGAAGAATGTTTCCACAACAGAAATCTGTGTTTCATAAGTGACAAAACACGGTGATCGATCATTTAAGGCCAGTCATAGGCTGGTGTGTGCAAATGTGGCTGCTGGTTGCATACATCTACATGCACATTATGTTCCTGTGCCGTAACGACCGTAGCTTTGCCTTTTCAGGAGAACTCTGTGGAATTTCTTGTGTTTGCAGTGACTGTTTATCTCTGCAGGAGATGCTAATAGCACATTTGTGAGTGAGAGTCCACCTCTGACCTTGGTTTGTCTCATTGTTCCCTCTTGCTTGAATGGCTAGCTTAAATGATTCGTTATTACTAAATATTATTATACCAGCATATCATATGTATGTGCACGTACAGCCTTGATGCCCTGAATCTAAATGAGACTTTAGTTCTTTAATCACTGTTTTGTTGAAACTAGTGCTGTCAGCGTTAACCTCGTTAAAATGACGTTAACGCCATAACCGCATTAACGCAACAAACCTCCGTTAACGAGTTAGCACGGATCGCCCCGTGCGTGGGGCTGCACAGTGTTAACGAGCGATCCGCGCTAACCGCCTAACGTAGATTTGTCGCGTTAATGCGGTTATGGCATTAACGTCATTTTAACGAGGTTAACGCTGACAGTACTAGTTGAAACATGAGAAAATGCAGGTTAGAGAGCTCACTCTGTTTGGTTTGATCAAAGGATGCTCAATTTTAAAATGCGGTTAGAGATTCTGTCCGTCCATAAAATAATCAACTTATTCTTGTCAAGCTAATAGACATTTAGACCCGGACCACGTGTACGAGGCTTTATTATGGTAAATATGGCAGCTTGTATGTAGTTTGGCCATGGGTAAAACTGGGCCTCTGAAAAACTCTGGATTTTGTAAATTCCAGGTTGTGGGAAAATAAAATATTTATGTGGGGAAAATCCAGTTTATCCTAATATTGTTTTTTTCTTTCCCCTACAAAATGATTTGAATATGTCAGCTTTGCTTCGTGCGGACACATCACATACGAAGGCTTTTCATACCAGCAGCTCTGTAACGTGATAGTAGTGAGTAAATGACTGTTTGTTTTGGTGCCGTGTGAACACACGAGTGTTTTATCCTCTTGATGAAGATGGATCACATAACACAGTCATCATGTGAAGATAAATCTCTCCGCTGGTGTTGTTTTGATTACCACGCAGTGTCAGTGACCATCTGGCTTCATCCTGCTTGTTTTTTTTATGAGGAGGAAACGGTATCAGTCATCATGTTATTGAGCGTGCGCCCTAGCTGGAGAGCAGAGGCAGAGCCGGCTGGCTGCAGTACAGAGTGCCTCATCATCACTCACTCTGATGACTGATACCTCTCGCAAAACTGCCTCTGGTCACCTTCTTTGTCAAACGGCAGATTATCTCTCAGGGCACACCTGACAGGCCGGCTACATGACAACAGGCAGATGTCAGCGCTGGGCCATGTGATCTCGTGTTGCTGGTGTGATTTTAATACAGAACTGCTTAAACAAATAAATACAAAGAACCAGGATCTGCTGTGCTCGTTTTTAGCTCCATATCTTCATTCTTGGTAGTTTGCATGATTCACAGAGCAATCCACATATTAATAATGATAGTTTATTAATAATTATTGAGTAATTATTTAGGTTGTACCAGGCCTAGAGGCGACATCACTGCTCATCCACTAACTGAAAGCTACTTTAGCTCCTCCCCCTTTAAGGCTGTCACCACTTTCCTCTGATTGCCTTCTGCTCATCAACAGAAAGCTTAAGTAGCCAGTGGGCGGGGCTTCTGTGCTTCATGTGACCAACTGTAGATATCCACTCTCACTGACATTATGAAGATCTGGGAGTACAGAACAATCTGAAGTGGAGCGTTTACAGAATTGGGAAGACTTTAGACTCCAAAGGAGTATCTACAGCTATGCTGACCTTTATTAAGACCACGTTATTAAAAAGTAACCACCACTACAACAGGATGTATAACAGAAAATAAGGGATTGAAATGTGTAAATGTTTAGACGTTACCATTGTGCCTTTTCTCAGGGTGCTCTTCCTTTTGATGACGACAACCTGAGAAACCTGCTGGAGAAGGTGAAGCTGGGAGTTTTCCACATGCCTCACTTTATCCCTCCAGACTGTCAGAACCTTCTGCGTGGCATGATTGAAGTAGACCCCATCAAGAGGCTGACGGTAAGCTGCTGCAGTCTGCCCACGTCACATCACCCCCTGGCCCGATTCGTTATAGACCCGGAGAGGACTGAGGTCCTCCATCAGCGTGACTGTGGTCGCTTTGCATTTTTATGATCTCCGGCTGCTGCCTTAGGAACTACATGCTGCACTTGTGCTAAATTTAGCACATTTGCACTGTGACTGACCTTGCAGCTACTGTTCTTTCCTTTCATCTAAAACCAAAGATTTGTTTAGAAGACAATCATTGCAAATATAACAAAAGTACTGTTAGATAATCTGCTTTCACTTCATTTTCTTCTGCAGGTTAAGCAGCTGTGTTAGGCATCATACCGCAGCTGATAAATCTGTAACTCAAGAGTAAGAACAGCATAAAAGTGTAAAACGAAATCAAACACCAAAGAAATGATAAACAAGTCACAGAGAAACTATTTTTAAAAACTAGTTTTATAAAGAAGATTTGAAAGAAAAGGCTTTTAAACTTTTACACTGCGAACCTCCCTCCCTGCATCTGTTTCCCTTTATTCCAGCTAAGTCATAGCCTAGGTTTACTTCACTGCAGTTAGCCGGACGGTGGCTGTAGGGTCTGCTCCTGTTCATTGCTCCTGAGCTTTAAAAAGGCTGGAAAAAGCTGCAGCGTGCAGTTAACCAGCATGCTCACCAGTGTGCCTCGTTGTGGTGAAGTGGACACTGGATCCTGCAACTTAATGCTGTTTGATAAAGACGCCCATTCCCTGGATCTTCAGAGACCATTGAGCCTGCTCGTCTTTGTCAGTTTCACTTGGAAATCATTCATTAATGTTTATTTGTCCTTACAGTTGGAGCAGATCCAGAAGCATACGTGGTATCTGTGAGTACAGACACTTGAGTTTATTTTCGTCTGCTTCTGTCTTGGTTCAGTGTGTACGTGCATGTCCGCTTAAAGTGATGTGATGAAAGAAAAACGCCACAGCAGATAATGCAGAATGAAAATAATAAGAGTGTTTTTTTTAACTCTCTGATGGAGACCTCTCAGAGAGGAATCGTGTCCATTAGTCCTGAGAGTGAGAGCTGTGTTTGCTCCAACGTTGAGAGGCCAGATCATCAGGATGCTCTAATGCACCTCTGATTTCTAATGGATGATTTTAAAACTCAAATTATTTTGATTTGAAATCACACAGAGGGTCACACAGTTCAGTAAAACTTTATTTCACTGATTTTTGCCATCTTACTAAACATTTTAGATTGAATTTTTGTGTCACCACCAAAACACCACCACCACCACTAAAACTCTTACTGTGTATAAATGTATCCTCTTATCAAAAGCAAGTCTTGCCAGATTTTTGGCCTGCTTGAAAAACCTCTGTGCATCTTTGGTTCGATTACTTTACTACTTACTAACTTTCCACCAAATTTAACTTTTCAAAAGCTTTTTCTGATCATTGAATTTAAGGACTGAGCTTCTCTTTTGTTGGGAAGCTTTAGTGTCTTCACCAGAGCGTTTGATTGTGCGGTTTATGTTGCAGAGCTGGAAAGAACGAGCCAGAACCCGAGCAGCCCATCCCCAGGAAGGTGGCCATCAGAACACTCGCTTCGGTCGAAGAGATCGACCCCGACGTCCTGGAGAGCATGCACTCCCTGGGCTGCTTCAGAGACAAGGACAAACTGACCAAAGATCTGCTGTCTGAGGAGTGAGTGGCAATCAAGGGACAAGGGAGCAAAAAGTCATTTACAAAACCACACATGAAGCAGATTGAAAGGGTGGGAGGCGCTGAGACGGAGAAGAGAAATATATTAGAGACTGCTTGACAAACTGTCAGCTTGATGAATTATTTCATTTAATATCTTGCGATGATCAACCGTCTTTTTGTTCCAGTCTCAACTGCTGGGTGCTCAGCTCACGGTCATCTCTCTTTGTCTCTACAGGGACAACCAGGAAAAGATGATCTACTTCTTGCTACTGGACCGGAAGGAGAGGTATCCCAGCCACGAGGACCAGAACCTGCCACCACGCAACGAGATCGGTAGGCCAGTCTAACCAATATCTGTCATTGGTCCATACATGAATGCCTCAACGACTATTTGGTGTTTTGCTAATATCTTTGGAACGCATGGTCATTAGCCCCACATGACTGAATTTTAATACCTTTGGTCATCCCCTTAACCCCTTAGGGTTTGGCTCAGCAGGTTTTGTTAACATGCTAAGGATGTTTATACAGTAAATCAAACTAGAGTAAGGCAAATGAAGCAATGAAGGTTTTAAATGCCAACATTTTTTTTGATCCCATATGTTTTGATTTTTTTAAATTATTTCATCCAGGATTGCCACAAACCTATTTTACAAAAAATATACGTGTTGTTTGGTTCCAGTTTTGAACTATCTCTATTAACTTTGAAAGCAACTCAAATCTACCAATAAGCTGTTGTCTGTCAGTGTCCATGCCAATTTAAACTAGTTTAATTAAGGAGTAGCATTCAGACTCCATCTTATAGAGATTAAGTATTATCTGCATTTCTGTTTGAGTAAGTTCCTACTAATTTTTATTTTAATATTAATAGAAACTAGCAACTTAAAAAAGGTGTTTATATTTAATTCATTCAGGTTCATCAAAACTGATGGCTATCCGGTCTTTAAGTCTGATGTCATTAGCCATGTCTGGGTCCAAACTCTGCTTCAGGTCCCAAAGTCAAATGAGCACTGCAGCATCACTGAGAGTTAAAAACTGTCTAAATTCTTTCATCTTTAATAAAATAATCAGCGTTGCTGCTTTATCAGGTTTAACAATTAATTTTAACATCCAGGCATCCATGAAAATAGAATTTATTACATTTAACGATGTTAGACGTTAGCAGGAAGTTAGCTTGCTAGTTTCCACCTAAACCTGATATAGCATGTTCTGACTGAGAGATTTTGGAAACAAATTCAAACGTACAGCTCTGCTATCACTTCCAACATAAATGAAGACAGAAAACTAAACAGCAGTGACGTTTGTAGCGTTACTGAAGTTGGGCTAGCCTTTATATAATGATGTGCTACGTGGTGGCTAGCAACACAGCTATGTTAGCATAACATTAGCACAGTGAAGCTGGAGGATGAACGCTAACTTTTTTCCACTTGATAAAAGTTAACGTGAGGGTTCCCGATGGTTAGAGACAAATGTAATCGCATGGCAGGATGCTGTAAACGGACCAAACTTCAGTCAGGAGAACAACTGAGATAATCCATCCACAATACGAGGTTAGTCATTAATAGGGTTGCCAACTCCCTGAAAAATAAATAAGGGACACCTCGTGGCCAGGGCCGGGCAACCCAGTTCACCCTTCCCAGTGTGGTGAATTTTGTAGTTTTTTTTTTGTGTGTGTGAAATTATTTTTTAACCATTTGACTTGAATTTGATTTAAGCAGATGCATATTCTTTGTGATATGACCATATAGGAAACAAATGATCATTTAGCCATTTATTTTTAGCTCAAAATGACAACATTAACACAGTAAAACAGGTCTCTTTCTTAAACAGAAGCCTGTCATGCTTAACTTTTGAGAATATAAGTAAATCTTTCTTTAAAAGAACTCTGTCCTGCTTAACTTAAAATTATATAAATTAATAGAAAACAATAGAAAAATATTCTTGTAACAGTGCACATATAGTGCATTTAGTACAACTGGCTTCAGTTGAGGTATTATTTCAGCTTTTCTAATGCTAATCAGCTGCTCCTGTTTGTAAACCCACTTGTTCCCATGATTACGCATCATAACTCATCATCATTATTAAAATATGTATTACTTTTATGTATTAGTGATCTATTTGTTGCAATCATCTATCCTTGCAGTTGTTTATTACACAAAATAAATTTATATTATCACACTTCTGGCCACATAGCGCTGATATTCACTGCACATGCCCACACCGGTGTGTGAATGTGTGCGTGAATGGGTGGATGACTGGATGACTGGATATGTAAAGCGCTTTGGGGTCCTTAGGGACTAGTAAAGCGCTATATAAATACAGGCCAATACAGGCCATATTAACCTTAACCAGAGGGTTTAAAAAAAAAACAACCAGTGTTTACATACCATATCTGCTTCTGCCGTGGCCTGGTGGACAAAAAATTGGTTAAGGGTTCCCCAAGCTTTCACGCCCCTCATGTTCTTCATGTGCCCACCATTAGAAGCATGCCTATGGAAAAAGTGCGCCGGCACACAGGTCAGTGCGCTTTATAGGTGTTACCATGCATTTTCCCAGCCAGGTGTTTTCCTTTTCCCATTCCTCCCAGTACTTTTGCAGCCTTTTTTTCTTTCTCTGAGGGGAACAAACATTGCTGCTCTAATGCTGGGCTTACACTGTGCAATTTTTGGCCCATTTTGAGACGATTTTTGAGTCGTGCGACCGATTTGGTGATCGGCCCGATTTTGGCCTTCATCGTGCATCGTTTAGTATACGTGGGGTAACGAGAAGTGGCTGTGGTGACACAGCCGTTCACACTGCTCACGCGCAAACACGTAAACGTCGGTGAAAAAGATGGAGCAGCACGGCTGTGCAGCGTGTGATCTGGACACAAGCGATGGAGGCACAACTTGTAGAACTTTGGAAAGCTCATCCGAGCCTTTTCGATGTGGCATCACAAAATTATCACGACCACAACAACCGTGAAAATAGTTGGATTTACACTGCTGCTCAATCACAGCTGCCTGATCAATGTTTTTCATTAGCAATTTAGCAAAGTTGATGGTGGTGGTGGTGTGTCTGTGTGAGTGAAAGACAGAGAGAGGGAGCGACAGATTTTCTGTTATAATCTTCATGTTATGGACGCACAGTGTGAGCACTCAGGTCGCATCAGAGCATCGGGCCGTATAGTGTGAGACCTGCATCGTGACCTATGAACGTCTAACCCCTGTGAGTCAATCGTGCAGTTTGAGCAGGAGCTGAATAACGTGACTGAAAAAATCGCACAGTGTCTGCCCAGCTTTAGGTGTACAGTTGTCCGAGACTTGCACCGCAGTGTCGGCGTTTGTTTCCCTGTTGGCCATGCTTCTTGTTGTGGTCATCTGTTGTCTTCCGGTATTTTCTCCGCAAGCGACCTTTCCTCGACCAATGAGATGAGCGGTAATCTGAATTGTCATACTCGAATTGTCATAAGTGTGCTGTCAGCTCATTGGTCACAAAGCAGGAGAGGGGCTGGGAATTATGTTTTCAAACAAAGCGTTAATTCCATTAAAAGTTATAGACTACTTTTGATTCTCACTGTATTACGGGACAAAGTGCGTCCCTTATTAGCTCAATACGGGACGTGTACTTTTGTTTCTAAATACGGGACGATTCCGTTTTTTAAGGGACGGTTGGCAACCCTAGTCATTCATATACTGCTGCATGGGCTGGGCTGTAGTAGTTACATGTAAGGGTTTAAAAACCGAGCTTTAAAATGAACAATGGTAATAAAAACTGAGAGCGATCACTGACTGTTTTTAGAGGTTTGTTGAGATTAAGTAGAACAAGATACAAACATTTTAAAACACAACAGCCTTATTAAACGCAGAGTAGTTTGGACCCGGAAGCAGGATTAATCACGTCATCACTTATAGTAAGCTAGTTTATGACTGTCTCTCTAGTTAGCCGATTTTCTATAAATGTAGGTTTGCCATTTTCACTTTTCATGCTGTTAGTGACTTTTGCTTTGGTTTTTGCTTGGATAGTTAGTTAAATACACTCTTTTTATGAGTATAGCTCTGTGGTTAGCTATCTTTTTGTGGAAGCGTGCAGAGTGAGGTAGCTAACAAAGCTACACAGTCTTTGTGTACTACATGTAGAACCTTTTTTCATCAATTTTTGTTGTTACTACTAGTTTAAAAATACGTTTTTGGAAATGACATACATACACACACATTTTTTTTTTGCCTGTCCCGTTTGGATCTTTAGCCGTCAGAATTGTTGTCTGAAGGCCAAGAAAGATGCCAAGCAGATTTATTTTACCAAGTGGATCATCATGGCCTTGCCATATTCGTCCATTTGATTGACCTTTATTATAATTATGTATTTATTTGATTTGATTTTTGGTTGTTACAGACGGGACAGACATGACTAGGGGATAGGACAGGGAGAAAGAATGAAAGAAAGAGAGGGAGAGAAAGAAAAATAGAGGCGAGGAGAGATGGTGAGAAAGGGGGGGGGAACAAGAAAAACAATCAAAACACCTGGATCACCTGTATGACGATAAAAAACCAGAAGAGAAAACAAACAACAAAGAGCAACATAATAAAAACAACACCATCACAATAAACTAGATAACAGTAGATAACAGTAAATACTAAATATTACATGTTATTGTGCAGTACGCAAGATTGACAGTGCACAATGTGCTTTGAGGTAGCAGCCAAGAAAGGTGTAGATTGTGTCTGTGAACACCTGTGTGTACACCTGTGTGGATCAGCATGCTTGTATTCAAAGGGTTTCTCCTTGTAACGATCTGCCAGGGAGTGTCATCAGTATTTTAATGTGTTGAAGTAAAATTTAGCTAATGTTAGCCATTTAGGAAAAAGCTAATTTACCAAATTAAAGCTAAATATATGCTAATACAGTCATGTTTTGACATACTGATTAGCTTTTTAATGTGAAACTGATAATAGCTGCGATACCAAGAAAAGGTATTTTGTGTTTGTTTGCTATCTTCTTTATCCATGAGCGTCTTCCTTCCACAGAAAAAAGTAAGTGGAAAATCCTGACTAAATGTATGTCAAATGACAAAATTTGGTATGCTTGTCCAAATACAGGAACGCATTTTGTTTTCTACTCTGCTCCTTTAAAGTGGTGTCCTAGGTTACATGTAGAGGGATAAAAAGAGCATAATGAATAGCTTAGGGGGCTGAAGTGTTCTGATAAACTGAACCTTTCAGTTAGTATTTCACCTTTAATTTACTGTTTTATATCAGCTTTATGAGATTCTACCATTTGATAAATATAGAATAACGTGTTATTTTTATATTCTTCTGACTGTTTTTTGTTTTTTAATGATCACTTTTAATGTTTTTGCCTTTGTCTTTTTCCTTCTCATCTCGGCTCACCCTGGGCCCGCTCAGCAGACCCTCCCAGGAAGCGTGTAGACTCCCCCATGCTGAGCCGTCACGGCAAGCGGAGGCCGGAGAGAAAGTCCATGGAGGTGCTGAGCGTCACAGAGGGAGGGTCTCCTGTACCGGTGCGGCGAGCCATCGACATGGCCACACACGGACAGAGGTAAAAGACCGAGATTGGCACGTGTGCTCGTGTGCATGGACGAACATGTTTCTCCAGGTCAATCAAGGCTGTTTGCTGTTGTTTAAAGTGTCATTGATGAGTTTTGAATTGATTATCAGTTATGATAAATAATGCATTTAATCACAGTTTACAGCACTTTATCAAAATTGGACTGGTCTTTTAAAAATATTAATTTCACACGTGTACTGTTTGCCCTCAGTACGACTTTACTTCAATCTTTCGTTTCACTGAGCTCTGTCAGGTTTACTGGGAAGTCTCTCAAACAGCTGTAAGTCCTTCCATGCTTCAGTGAACTGTGGTTAAATACATGATGCATTATTCTTTCTCTGGTGGTGTCAGACATACAATACACATCACAGAAGGCTTGATGTAATCTCTGGGTTTAGATCTGCCTGAGACTAACGGTGCACTCTTAGCTCTGGCGGAAATTCATCACAGATGTTGAAATGCATGGACCGGTCTCTCAGGTTTGTGCGTGGTGTGGGTAAAGTGTGCATGGAGCATGCAGGACAAGAAGCATCCCGGTTTGAGAAGCTGTGAACTGAAATCCATTTAGCAAGCGGGCGTGCACGAAATCTGTGGATGTTTTTGTAGTCGAGCTGTGACAAAATAATGGAGGAGATTGTAATCCATGTGTTTCCTGCTTCCTAATAACCTTGTATGGACATGGGTGTACACACATATACTGTATGACAAACAGAAAAAAATAGATGATAATGTGAAACCCTACATGACGAGCTGAAGCAACAGCATGTTGTTTACTAGAGGAGTGAGGTATTAGTATGAGACAAATGTTCTAAATCTTCTAAAAACATATATATATAAAAAATATCTTATTAACTTATTATCTGATCTAATGCGAGTGAGCGGTCTTCATCAGTCCTGGCTCTGCAGCTCCCTCACCAAAACCAGAGTAGGAGTGAAAATGCAGCTGAGGATCAATCCCATGCTGCAGGAAACGGCAGACGATGTCCAAACTGTATTGTCGTTGTCGGGGGTTTATGTGTGAAAACAAGCTTTCATCAATCTACCACATTAAATTACTTACTTTATATTCAGATGCAGTAGAAACGATTGATGGAGCATCAATTTATTGGCCTGATGGACTTCTGTAGCCAATGGTTGACACTGTGGTGGCTGTATGTGTTTTTTATATTATCTGTGTATTTAAAAGAGAGCAAGCTAACACATTTAATTCAATATATGCTCTGGATGTGTTTTGAGTAATTTATGGTGTCATAGAAGAGGTTAAGTAGAAGGAGCTGAAGATCTTTGTGGTTCTCTTTCATAGCATTCGTTTCCTGTCTCATTATGGGAATGTCTCTTGTGTGACCTTATCAGAAGCTCAAATGCCTTTATGCCAGCTACGTGATGCCCAGACAGTGGGATAGCTCAGTAGGTAGAGTGTTTGCCCCATGACCGGAAGGTCGGGGGTTCAAATCCACCAAACGGCTACCTTGAGGTACCCTTGAGCAAGTTACCGTCTCTGCACACTGCTCCCGGGCGCTGGATTGGTATCTGCTCACTGCTTCTTCTCGTTTTTAACAGAAGAGTGGAAAGACACCTGTGCTATTGGGTGCTAGCATACAAGGAGTAGCAATACTGTCCTGTGGCTAATGTTGGTGTCAAGTAGCAATACTTTCACCCCGGGAGGTAGCAATCTTTTCCCAAAGCAAAGTAGCAACACTTTGCTAATAAAGGTACCACTAGCTTTATCATCAGGTAGCAATACCCTTCAGCGCTAACGGTTTCTCACATTAGGTAGCAATACCTGTAGAAAAGTACTTTTCACCCCATGCTAGCTGAAGAATAGCAATATTCTCTGGACTTTAGTGAGTTGTAGAGCTCGCTAACATTCACAACTCTCTAGCTAACCATGGCTATGACTGACAACAAAGTTGCAAAACTTTGTCCTTGCAGCAAGTAGATTTCTGCCTGGGATACACACCCCGTGTGTGCGGCATGCCTTTGCTTATCGCATGCACAAGCTACCATGACATCCATACACAACTGTATCCAACGCGCGGCTTTCACACACAAACTACTCCGCCACAGGCTAGCTCACCAGGCTAACCTGTCGGGTGGCGACCCTTTGCTGTGTGAGGCTGCTGTGGCGCAAAGAGAAATTTAAATGCCCAATGATTTGGCCGCAACACCAAGCCCGAGCTGGGCAGATGCAGACCCTCACCCCATCGTCACTGCTTTCCCGTCACTGGAGACACATGGAATATGTGAATTTTTCCCCCATGCTTGAGTCACCCTGGATTGGAGATGCTAACGAGGACAGAGATGAGTCAGGTGACACGGAGCTCCTGCAGTCTGACGATGAGGAGGAAGAGTCCAACTCCTTGGCTAGCATCAGCTTGGTTGAAAAGCCCTCGGCTACCGGTGAGGTAGAAAAATCTGCACTGCCGTCTCCCCTGGACATGCAGGACGTGTGCAAGCGCACAGCTGCTAGGCTCAACATCCCGTGGCACGGCGTGCAAAGCGAGGTTGTAAAATCTCGTTTTGATGGTGAGAAATATCCAAAGGCAAAAAAGACGGGAAAGCATGTGTTGCCCGTTTCCCCAGAGCTACTTGATGAGATATAAGTGATGGGGAAAGAAAAGACATACAGCGAAAAACACCCCATCGTGGGGAGCTCCCTTCTGGTTTGTGAGAGGATGGAGTCAAATGCCACAAGTGGAACTGTTAATATTGAGCCATCTTCACCTGAAGACATCTATGTCCTCATCACCCCATCCCTCCTCTCCAAGACAGACCGCTTCCAGTCTAGCCTTACAAATAAAGTGCTAAAAGGCAGCAGGTCTGTGGGTAAGAGCCCACAACGCCGCCTCTATGCTAATGGCTTACCAAGCCAAGCTAGAAAAGGACATGACAGCTAAATCATATACCACAGTGTGGGAAGAAAACTGCGTCATAACTCACCACGTCCTCCACCTCCACAAGGTAGCTGTACAGGCTGCTGGGAGAGCCATGGGTCTCATGATTATCCAGGAGCCGACACTCTGGCTCGGGCTCACCAACCTGCTGACTAAGAAAAAAGAGGAGCTCCTCGACACCCCTGTCGCCCCTCAAGGACTCTTCGGCGCGGCTGTTATATCATTGCAGAAGAGATGTGAGGAGAAAAAGAGAGGTGACAAGGCTCTTCTCTAGGGCCTTGGGCTGCTGTGCCTCTACCCAGGTCCTTTTCAGAGCAAGTTCAATGGGACATGTTCCACACAGAAGGCAGAACCCGGGCCGGCGTTGACGTCACTGGACCTTTCAGAGGGAAACAGCAAAAGATTGCAGTGTTGTTTCACAAGCACGTCTCTCATGCATTCTGGATTAAACTGCGATAATGCAGACGTGCCCGTTGCCTCCGTCGCAGGTGAGGAAGATGACAGGACACCGGGATGGCGAATGTTGGCAACCACAATAGTGCAGCCTGCGTGAGCTTTGAGATCACCTGGTCTGCTGTGTTCTTGTTGTCAGAACATGAAAAACTGTTTCTCTTCATATAAAGCAAATTGTACATTTGCAGTATATATTTTTCTTGTTCAAAAACCATAATCTAAATGCTGACATATGCTATGCTGGAGTTTTCATACAAATTGTTGTACGCTGCTCTGCTCGTGATGAGCTGCACTCAGCAGGTGCTGTCTGATTTGTTACACTTCAGCAGCTTTAACAGCCAGAAAGCCCGCGCGTCTGGCTGCGTTCTCCTATTTCTGAGGATGATTCAGACAATAAAGCTGAACATTACAGCTTGTAAAAATGTTTCAGAGGTGCAAAAATACAGAAACTGATTGTTTACGGTAAGGGAGTGTGTTGAATGTCCCACTGACTCCAGCATGATCCATGAATGTGTGTCTCCTCTTAATTTTTGACTCCTTAGTTCTCGATCTCTGCATGTATTTGAGGTTTTTTAGTTCTTGGGTTCTTGGTAATTTTTGTCTTGTTTTGTTTTAGTTTCACAGTAATAAATTAGTTTCAAGATTTATTTTTTAACAGGCTCGCATGTTGCACATTAGGTTTTCCCTTGCTTGACTGCCTTTCTGTCTATCTCTTGATTTTTCTTTTCTGCCCCCTTTTTAGCAAATCTGTTTTCAGTAAGAGCTTGGATATCACAAACGCTAACTGCAGCAAGGAGGAAAGGTATTGGATTTCTGAGTTTCTGTGTTGTTGTCTGTGTTATTTTCTTCCCACTCATCTCTTTGGTTTTTCTTATTGCTTGCGAAAGTTCGTCACACCTTTGTCTTTCACTTTTAGATGTAGCATGTGGTTCCTCATAGAAAAAGTTTATTTACCTTTTGTTATGAAAATCTGTCTGTGGCCACTCAAATATTTGTCATTGCTTTTGCATCATTTTTACATTAATTGATCATCTAAAAAACCCACATTGTGACCAAAGCAACGCCACAACAAGATATTCTCTTTACTAACAAATCACTTCAGACGCTCAATATAAATACGACATTAAGAAAAACAAAAACATCCCCAAAAAGAAACACAATCAACATTTTTAACAGCTAATGTCAATAATATTTTATTTTCTGGACAAAGATGGAGAAAGTCTTATTTTGTTATTAGTGGATTGAAATCTCTGGAGACAGGCGAGCATCATTTCTCTCAGCACCGTCGTTGGCTCCGTTTTTTACTACCTTTGAACTGAAGGAACAGAAAACTGAAGATTTTGAAGAATGATATTTATGTAATGAGTTTGGGTCTCCGGAGAGTGACATCACTTATAAATGCATTGGTCCAAATAAAGGTAAGGCAGTGACTCAGTGTTACTGCCTTTGACAGCATATTTTCCTCATATTTTAATAAATAAAAATCAATTTTATGTTTGGGTAAATGCAACCCTACTTCAAAAAACAGGTTACAAATATTTCCATTACAATCCTGGTGAATAAGTCTAAAATCATTTTGGTGGATCACGTTTACCTTTTCTGTTTTTGTCTAAATGCTGTAGTCAGTTTTCAGCTTTCTTCTTATATGTTCTGACTTCTTTTCATTTTAGGGCCACTGTAGGTGCCCCTTATTTACTGTAAATGAATCCGTCTGTGTGAAGAGTGCCTGGACAACAACAACTTTTACATGATGTTAGATAGGGCTGTGCGATATGACCAAAACCTCATATCCCGATATAAGACATCTATCGTCCGATAACGATATAAATCACAAAAATGCAACATTTTCTGTAAATTCTGTGAATCTCGTCTTGCGTGAAGTGTTTCCAGCTGGGCGTCATGTAGCTGGAGTCCAGTGTTTTAACCGATGCATGAAACGATACATTTTTAGACATAAGTTGTAACTGCCGCCGTTTTCTTTGTGAGTATTTATTACACGGCGTGCTGCGGGGGAAAGCCTGTTCTAATGTTTGAGTCTAAGGTTTATTTTTTAGCACCTGGCGGCTCTTTTTTACTTCATCCGTAAATAATCTGCTCTTTCACGTGATTCAGTTTATTTTGAAAAGTCTCAACAGGATCTTGAGCTTTATTGTGAAAGGTTTATGTGGAACATAAACAAGCGGACACGCGATGGTGTTACCGTCGTTGTTGCTAACGACAACGCATAAAAACAGGCGCTTGTCCGTCCGTAGTGTGGTTATATTAAATATAAGAGAAAGAGAGAACTTTAAGAAATGAATATAGCCACTACAGTGACCATCAGAACCATGAAAAAATATTGCCGTAAACAGTTTATTTTGCGACACCACGAAACAAACGATAGCGTAAAATGAAACGATAGATGTTTTTATATCGTCATCCGATATATATTGTTATATCGAACAGCCCTAATGTTAGAATTGTAGGGACAGACTACAAAAGGCCCTGGTGTTCATCAGTGCATAATAAGACAAAGTGGATACAAATGGAAACTCAGGTGTATTGTGTCAGATAGTATTGGATCTAAACAGTATTTGGATCCAAGTAGTATGATGTAAAATGGTCACGCTGTTATCAGAAGCCTATATCAGTGTGAGCAGAGTATTCTGTTCACGCTGAAATCTGAAAAATGGCACACGATGAGTTTTGCACCCCCTTCCTCTTTGGTGTTGCTTCCTCAGCCGCTGAGAGGCAAACACAATTTTTAGGTCAACTTCCTGCCTCCGTGTCTAACAACGCCTCCTCCCCTCCTAACATCTTCACTCCATATCGTGTGTGTGTGTGTGTGTGTGTGTGGAGGAAGTACTGGCAAACAAACAAACTTTTTTGCACTTTGCCAGTGTGTTTTTCCAATGATGCATGGGGAGGGTTGTGTATAATGATTTGTGGATCCTCCCTGTGCGGCTGAACACAAGTTTGTCTATGGATTTGTGGCCTTAATGGAGATTAGCATAAATTAATTGCTTTGAATGCAGATGGAGCATAAACACGAGATGAAAATGAGGTTCACAGTCCCACTGAACAGCTTTTTATCTTGCTCGTCATCTAACTGGGAATATCCATAAAATGAAGCTTGTTGTGCCCACGAACAAACATCACCAGCAACAAACCAGGAATCCATTTTCCCGTTTCAGAGATGAGCTAGCGTTAGCGTCCTGGGTTTGTCCTGGATGGGCGCCACCGTTGATGAATTGCGTGTTACAAAAGAGCTCCTCTCCCTGGCGGGAGAGTCCTGTCGCCATGATTTAACGTAACATCAGCGCGTGCTTCCTCAGCATGACGACGCAGAGCAGATAGAATATGTATGATTCTGCAGTATTATACTCTGTGGGACTGTATCACAGCGGGGCTACAGACAATAATGGAAAACAAAGAGCTTTTAAAATCATGAGGTAGTTGATACAATTAGCAGATTTTCAAAAAGTTAGGTTTGATGCTTCCAACTTCTCACGTAATGATTTCTTAACTCCAATTATTTATTTGTTTTTGCTCTTCGGTTATTTTAAATAACTTTGATGGTCCAGTTTTTGGGTTGAAAAACAAACATCATGAATGAACTGTGATTTCATCATTTCTTTAAAACTCTTTAAAACTATAAATGTTAGCTGCTGGTATATTTCTTTGCATAACCAGAAGCGCCATATTTGGATAAAACGATCAAGTAATTCTAAGAAGCTTAGGTAGCAAACTGCATTCAGAAAGAGCACTGGTGCAGTGCACAGACACACACATCTGCTAATTAGTTCAAATTGATATAATTTCACTCACCAAAACAAACATCGTCGATGATCTGTACCATTTAGTAAGTCATTGTTTGTCAGGTGTTTTCATTAAAAAATAGCCTAAAAGGTACTGACGGCACAAACAGGCGAGAGGCACAGTTCAGTGGCTCCGATTAGATGCAAAGATGAGGCCTGTCAGAAAGTGTGAAACGACCCATAGTTGGGCTAGCAGGCTTTAAATATACTCTGTAATGCTGTTAAGTTAGGCATTTTAAAATGAGACTCTGAGAGAGACCTTTGTTTAATTCATTTGGAAATAATATCAGTTTTTAGTTGCAGTTCACTGGTAGGAAACATAAGCAGTGATCACATTTAACGAGGTGCGTCTATATATTTAAATTAATGATAGCTGCTTCAATTGAAAGATTAGAAGTGGTTTTATTAACACAGGCTCACCATCAGGTGTTTGATGTTCGTCTGTACTTCTTAAATACGTAAATCATCAGCATGTTTAAGTCAGACTAATTCATCATGTCATTAAAAAAACAAGATTAATGTAGTTTTCTATTTCAAAAAGACAAAAAAATCTGGATGATGAATCAAGTAGCACAGCAGCAGTTAGGCAGATGTTTTATTTCACTCACAGCTGAATTCAATTAAAGTAGAATGTTGAGTTCAGATGTAAAAATACTGTTTATAAAAGCTTTACACAAGCAGAAGAAGCTAATTGATTTCTAACAACTTGCTAATATTTGTTTTAGAAGTTTCTTCAGCTGCATCGCTGTAGAGACGCTAAAGCAGCCAAAGAGAGAACATTTCAACATCGGCATTTTAAATATTATGTAAATATTATTATTATTTAAATAATATTATTATTATAATATTATCCATCCATTCGCTTCCGCTTATCCTTTTTCAGGGTCGCGGGGGGCGCTGGAGCCTATCCCAGCTGTCATAGGGCGAGAGGCGGGGTACACCCTGGACAGGTCGCCAGTCTGTCGCAGGGCCAACACACAGGGACAGACAACCATTCGCACTCACATTCACTCGCACATTCACACATAGTGACAATTTGGATTTTCCAATTAACCTATCCCCACAAGCTGCATGTCTTTGGACGGTGGGAGGAAGCCGGAGTACCCGGAGGGAACCCACGCGAACACGGGGAGAACATGCAAACTCCACACAGAAAGACTCCGGCCTGATGTTGGAATTGAACTCAGGACCTTCTTGCTGTGCGGCAACAGTGCTAACCACCGTGCCACCGTGGTTATAATATTATGGTTATAATGAAAATAGTAATAATAATGAAGAAACCATGGTTTCTTCATTATGACGGGGCAGCGTCATAGCTGTGAGCTCCAAATACTGCCTCGTGTGATGACAGCGCATCTTCAAAATCTAATTTGCAGTTGGCAATGTCATTTCTCCTTTATGAGAATTTTATTTATTTATTTTCTTATTTTTGTGTGTGTGCCTGTGTTTCTATCAGTCTGTCTGTGTCTTCAAGCATTTTTAATTATGATGTAGTGTTTTCATTTTTCACTGGCAACAAAGCCAAATCGTCTATGGGCAATTAAATCCCAAAGTCTTCAAAGACGTCAGCAGGTCTGAATGGTGAAAGTGGCGTACGGGCAAAAGCGAGAAGGGGGGGTGAAAAGTTAATGACACGTAAATGAAAAATGGAAACACTCATAAAAAGCAGAAAAGAGAAACCATGGTAATGAATTTTGCAGTAGCTCTCTGGTTCGGTGTGTGTGTGTGTGTGTGTGTGTGTGTGTGTGTGTGTGTGTGTGTGTGTGTGTGTGTGTGTGTGTGTGTTGTAACACTGACTGAGCTGCTCTGAACTATCTGAACTTTGGTTAAGGACATGAATTACTGAAGCCTTAAGTTGTCCTGTCACACCATAACTTTCCCCTCTAGTTGTATTAGCCACACAAAAGCTAAGATCCTTCAGAATCAATGGAAGTGAAAATCTCCACTAACCACTTCCCCTGTAACTAACCATTTACGGCCAGGTTAGCAGCCTCTTACTACCATATCTGTAATGGTCATTGCACTAAATCAAATAGAAAAAGAGCAACCCAAAGACGGGAGGAGAGCAGTCAGTGAAGTCTGTGGATAGAAATCATGAGAATGGAGCAGAAAAGTCCAAAAAACCACAGGTCAGGATATTTTGGATAAGCGGAAGAAGATGGATGGATTTCCACCATAGCCCACATTTCCATCAGGGCTATATTATAGGAATATATTATATTAAAGATAGCACCTTAACTCCAATGATCAGGAGAAAAGGCTGCACTTTGGAACAGACCAGCTCAGGGGAAGCTGAGTATATAGAAATGTGGAAGATGAATGTTGTCTGGATGAAACAATGAATGATTTAAACATTTTCAAAAAGAAAAAAGAAACTTGCTGAGGTCCAGAACTCATGCCAGCTGTAAAAAAAGCATGCTAGCTTAATGGTGCTTATTGTGACTGTGACCTGGGGGGGAAACAGCCTCGCTGACAAATGCATTTTTAGTTCAGTGCCCCACAAGGGCAGCTCAAGAAGTTTGGTTTGGAGAGCTTACAGATGTTGATAAGAGGAAAGGTTTCAGCAGGACGGAGACAATAAAATGTATTTGTAGAAGGGAAAAAAGGAAGAGCTACACAGAAAGGTTCAGCTCCTTTGGATGAAGTGTGTGTACATGTTTAGGCATCGCTGTGAGGACAGAAAATTGGCACTTGTGGGGACCAACAGTCACTTATGGGGACAAAGTGCCGTCCCCACGAGTTTGAAGACATTTTTGAGGCTCAAAATGTGGCTTTAGTGTCAGGGTTACAGTTAGGTTATGGTTAGGTTTAGGCTCAGGGTAAGCAGCAAGGGAAAGCATTATGTCAATGAGATGTCCTCACCAAGATATGAAAACAAGTGTGTGTGTGTGTGTGTGTGTGTGTGTGTGTGTGTGTGTGTGTGTGTGTGTGTGTGTGTGCTGCTTTGTACATTGTGGTATTGTGCATCATGCATACTGTCCACTTTGTGAATATTGATTTTACCTTGTGTGTGTGTGTGTAGGTCACGGTCAATCAGTGGAGCGTCCTCTGGTCTGTCCACCAGTCCTCTCAGCAGTCCCAGGGTAAGTATACGTCCCTTCCATGAAGTGATTGGTTCCCCACAAGCACCTTGCTGGCTGACTGGCTCTGCTGGCATATTGTTCCGCTCATACACACATACTTGTTCACATTTCCCTCCCATTGCCTCCCATCAGCAGCTCACATTGTGGACTTCATCATAAGCCTGTTTGACGTACAGCACAGCCTAAATGAGGGAAACGAGTGAGTTGTACATCATGTCCGGGCAGGTGAAGAAAGAAGAACTCTGCAGTGAAGCCAATCTGGAAATGTTAAACTAACTAAAGCATGAAAAGGCCAAAGCTGACTATATACAACTAACAAAGTCCATCTGAGAGCCATTTGTAGTTCTCTCATTGTAGCCTGCTGAAGATTCATAAGACTTCGTTTAGTTTTATTGAAAAAGTCAAAGCAGAAGGAAAAAACATGTCAGTAATTTTCTAACAGCTGGTCAGTGTGGGCTTCAGCTAACATTAGCTGGAGGAACTCGAGTAAATTTCAAGTTCTGCACATATGATATTAGAGTATCTGTCATAAAAATCCCCACAAAGTGCTCACTGTAACGACAAAACAAATCACTAACCATAAAAAACGAGTCCTCTGGTGAAATAACAGTACAGCTGCGGTAAATAGTCAATTAATTTATGTAACTGATCGAAGTTTAATAGCTTAATAATTTGAGTTTTCAGGGAAAAATGTTTTAAAAAGTATCTATCGAGTCTTCCATTGTAGTAAATGAAATGTTCTTTCAGTCATATGTCATAAACGCTCAGTTTTCCTAATGAGCCACTAGAATACGCCAGCGACCTCATCGCTACGAGGATAAATTAGTGTTTGCCTGTTGATTGAATTTAAATTTTTTTGTGTGTTTGGGTTCCGGCTGGTCACCAAACAATCAAATACTTTTTGCATTTTGTCCTTTCTTTCCAATGAACCACTTCTTCTGAATAAACTCTAAATATTGGCTAAAACCAAATATTTGGAAACAAACTAACACGTGTATAATTCACTGTAATAACTTATGTTTAAAAAGTGAATGGTGAAATCGTCAGGGGAAACGTAATAAGACATTTAACAGATGCTATTTGTTGGGTTGATGATGATGTCGCTCCATTACTAACTAAAACAGTTTCCACCAAATTACTGAAAAACAAATCATAGTCAGTTGGTCATCTGTGGAAAATAAAAGATGCCCCTTTTTTATCTATATCGTCATCTAACTGCTCTGCAGCTGTGAAATAAATAAAGGCCTTCTTGTTCTTATTCTTTTTATTCTCGTTGTTATTCACAGCAGGCCGATCTGATTTAGGATCATTTGAACCCAGTGTGTGCTGCGCTGTACGTCACACAGAGCTTTAGATGAAGCGGGACCAGATCCATCTATGAGCGCAGACCAAACTGAGATCTGGCGATTAATATCCATGAAGAAGAGATTCTAATGACGTGGCAAATTAGTGGAAGAACACGTCTGTCAGTCTCTGAGAAAACCCTGCTGCAGAGTCAAAGCAGGGAGGAGAAGTGTGTGAATCAGTTCACAGCCTCCAGGTGCTGCTTTGCTGTTTCCTTAAAGTCATTCATTTTTACTAACCAACGCTCAGAAAGAGCACAGGCTGGGTATCGTAACATTTTCTATCCTGTGAGGACGTGCTGAAGTTTTATGTTTTGTCCTTGTGAGCCGCACATTGTGATGTGTGACACAGCGAACTAAAGAGGAGATAGATTGTAATCTTCAGCTCCTCTTCCTATAAGTGATGCTGATTCGTTCAACAGACCCACCTGAGTTTATTTGCTCAGTCTGTTTCATACATGCTGAAGAGAGGATGCTTTTGAAACTTCCTAAAAAGGTTACTGTTTTAATTACTGATAAGAATCAATGAGTAGCTGTTGAGTCTTCTGATGCATTTCTTTTTTCGGTAATAAGAAAATACTGAATCAGAACTGCAGAACTCTCAGTGTTAAACTCTTACACAGACATGACTGTATTACTTTATACACATGCTATTCCAAGAACGGGCTGACAGCTCACCACAGGCTCTGCAGCCTCGCTGTTTTTGATTTGCTGAGGTCTGCTGTGCTGCTGCAGTTTGTTCAGCTGTGGATTCTCACTGCTCTGACCTGTCTTATCAGTGATCTGCTCATTCATCCCACAGTATTGTGCGTCAGCACTGGGCATGCACTCTGGCTGCTTTCCCAGGTGGAGGGTGAAGCTAAATCGGTTAGCTTTCATGCTGGGTCACTTGCTGGTAATTAGGGATGCACCGATGTATCTCACAGTAGTGGAATTCTGTCAGGTGAAAGCCTTAGTTTCAGGAAGTTCAGCTGATGGTTGGCCCTGATATTAAGAGGCCAAAACATTTAAATAAACTCCAAACCTTCATCTTTTCAGTTAAAAGTTGTTGCTTTCTCCACATTCTGGAGATTTGCTGCAACATTCCGGCGTGTTCAGTGTGACCACAGACCACAGTGACCACAGAGGGGTTTAGCTTTTAAAGAGGTGGACACGCTGCTAGCTCATATGTAGGATAGATAAAGCGTACGATGCTTTATTCTCCGTGTAAACAGTGATTTACATGGTTATAATGCACTAAAGTAATGAGTCCAGGTGAACCTTGGAGAACAAAGCTAGACTGTGATATTGTGTATGTTGTAACACTGCAGAAGCGACACAGTATGAGAATGTGGACAAAGTGACCACGTTGATCTCGGTGCATCCCTTCTGTTAATGCATCATGAATGCTCCACTGCTGCCTCGTGATTGGCTTAATCACTCTGCTAATCGCATGTTCTGTCTTTCTTTCTTTCTTGCACTCTCACCACTTCCTGCCTGCTCCACTTCTCAACCATCTGCCACACTCCTTTTTTATTTCCTGGTGTTTGCTTATTTTTATTTTTGTTGAATGGGAATGAACCTTCATTGGGCCGTGGTGTTCCTCTGGCTTTTTTATTGGCTGACCCTGCTGTCATCTGTGACGGTGCATGACAATCGCAGCCCATCCGGCGGTTTTTTATCCCACCCCAATCTCCAGACCTATGCCAGTCCCCCAACTGCAGCCCCACCCACTCCCCCGAGGTCCGCCTTAATGGGGTGGGGCCCCGTACACATAACTCCTACCAGCCAAAGATGGGCTCGCCCATCATGCACCCCCGCACACAGACCCTCCCTGCTAAGCCCAAAGTATCTGAGAAGCCCCTGCAAACCACCAGGTCCAACCCACTCCCTAACACGGACCAGACTGCCACCACCCCTAAATCTGAGCCCTCCACCCCGAGCCAGCCTCTGGCCCCTTGCATCCCCAACAGCCCCCGGGTGAGGCGCCACCCTCCCCTTACCGTTCCCCCCAAGCTTTCTATCCCTCTCTCCCCGGTGCCTCCGATGTCCCCACTCCGCCGCCACCACCTCCACCCTGACCACAACGCCAAATCTGTCCCCATCACGCAGGTGACTCCCCACCCCTCCCCCAGAGGGAGCCCTCTCCCAACCCCCAAAGGCACCCCAGTGCACACGCCCAAGGACAGCCCGGCTGGCACGCCCAGCCCGACACCACCGCCCAGCCCTTCCATTGGTGGCATGCCCTGGAGGACGCGCCTCAACTCCATCAAGAACAGCTTCCTCGGCTCACCACGCTTCCACCGCAGGAAAATGCAAGGTATGGTGGAGGAGACAGGTAGGGCCCAGGAAATGAAACCTCATGATTTGGCTTAATCAGATTGAATTTCTTACTCTTATCCATGTGATAATCTACTCAGCAGAGTGTGTTTATGCAATCCATCCTTATCGCTCAGGGGAATAACAAGGACAAATAATCTCTTAATGACTGCGTTTACCTGCAGTTAACCTGACGCCAGCCTAACTGTGAGAATCTGCATCCTGAGGCCATGTCATAAAGAAGATAACGGCCTCATTACAGAAAGTGGAAAATTTACAAAATTCCCTAATTTTTTCATTAGTTTGGGTAGTTTTCTTACAGCTGCTTTGATGCTGCTGAACCAACCCCCTCCAGACAAACCGAATTAAGTCATGATGAGGCCCAGTACTCGTTTACACTGATGATATCTGCTTAGTAGTGCTAAAAACAAGACACAGAAGTATCTCCCCAAGTGCCGTTTCCATAAGTTATAGAGCCGAATCTAACATTTAGCCTCTGTTTGTGTCCACAGTTCCCACCCAGGAGGATATGTCCAGTCTCACCCCAGACTCCTCGCCAGAGTGAGTACCACAGCAGCAAACATGAATACCTCACCTGTCCATTATGTTTATTTAATAGCAGCACAAGTGTTTCAAATGTGAACCTGCAGCAGCTACATTATTTTAGCATATTGGGAATCTGAATGGTAGACTTATCCATGTGATAGCATTTTAAGTTAGCAAGCGAACTGCGTTTTTTCATTTCAGGTCAATTCGATGTTATTCATATAACACCAAATCACAGTATTATAGTGTAAGGTAACGATCCTGCAACAATACAGAGAAAACACAGGAACAGGCTCCCTGTTGTTAGGTAGTTTATTATTTAGCAGTTAGCAGTTTGTCCCTGTTAGCAGGCAGGCTAATGACGGTTATCATAAGTCAGACGACACCAGCTACAAGTTATTTTAAACTCCAAAACCAAATCTTACCCCAGTCAAACACTCGGCCTTCTTCGCTGGAGAAAACTATTTTTTAATTAATTAGCTGAGTCATTGATAAGCATGTAAGACATTGCCCTTTTTTATTAGGGATTTTATCAGGGAACTCAGTAATGTGCTCATTCTGTGCAGTTATACCATGATTAATAACCAGCCAAGCTGTGTGAGTGTGCAGCTGTCCACTTCCTAGAAAAGCATGTTTGCTGTGAAAGTATCTCCTCAGTCACAGAGAAACGCGTGTGTCCCATCAGGTCTGTGTTTTGGGAAAATGCTTCAGTACAAATCTTTCAAAAGCATAATAACAATTTAAAATTAGGTAAAGTAATCATCTGCACAACTCTACGTTAGTTATGGTATGGCAACAGCACCGCCTACAACTGCAAAGCTCTCCAGCGAGTAGTGCGGTGCTCTGAACGGATAATTGGAGGTGAGCTTCCCTCCCTCCAAGACATCTACAGGAAGCGGTGCCTGAGGAAAGCGGGGAGGATCATCAAGGACTCCAGTCACCCCAGCCATAAACTGTTCAGACTACTTCCATCAGGAAGGAGGTTCTGCAGCATCCGGTCCCGTACCAGCAGACTGAGAGACAGCTTTTTCCATCAGGCCATCAGACTGCTGAACACGTCATAGACACCTCAGCTTCACTACTGGAACTTTAACATTATGCACTCCACACTGTATATAAATGCCACTTGTTTTGCACATATTCAACTCTGTATATTTTATATATTTTATTATTACTATTATTATTATTTATTTATTTTTTTTAATTTTTTTTTAACTATTTAATTTGTAAAAATGTGCATACACACACACACCACACACACACACACACACGTAGGAAAATATTTAGTATACACATCCAGAAATGCATATACTATTATATATTGTACATATATTTATTAGTTTCAGGTTGGCCATTCTTGTATTTTGCTCGTTTGTGTTGTTGTGTTTGCACATCTCTGTTGCTTGTGGGGCTCGCACACAAGAATTTCACTCGCATGTGCTGTGCCAGTGTGCCTGCACATGTGATGTGACAATAAAAGTGATTTGATTTGATTTGATTTGATTTAGTTAGCAGTGGTGATGGAGCTGATGGAGCTGTCTGTTACAATTATTAGTCAGGTATCGGTCTCATTTGTTTGGGTTTCTTTGTAATTGTTACAATCCCACCTCTTTTCTTAGCTAGTTGTTAGTTGTTAATAAAATATAACCTGGGTATACTGAGTGTGCTTTGTAACGCTGGAACCAAACTTTGAATCTTTTCTGCAGACTGGCTAAGAAGTCATGGTTTGGAAACTTCATCAATCTGGAGAAGGAGGAGCAGATCTTCATAGTCATCAAAGACAAACCTCTTAGCTCCATAAAGGCCGACATTGTGCACGCCTTCCTTTCTGTAAGTCTCCCTCCTTACTCCTCTCTTCGGTTCTTCTAATCCTGTAACATTTCATTATTGATTACATTATGCCCGATTTGAATGATCTATGCTACAATGGAGGCTGATCTGATAAATAACTGTTCTATTGTTGTAGCTTTCTTCCTTAATACAAGAAGTCATTGCTACAACACAGCAGACTGGAAGACCCGACAGAGCATGTTCACATCAGTTTGACCTCAATCTGCCTTTTTTCCTCCCACATCTGAACTTTGTTGATGTCTCTGAAGTCTTATTCTCAGATATCAGAGAAAAAATAAAGACAAAATCTTTGTTAGCATTTTTGTGTACATAATTTTACAGTCTTACAGTCAGTGTTGGAACTTTTTTTTTTCATTTTTCTTAAAGAAATCACCTACATCATGTTGTTCATCATGTTTTTATGTCATGTGTAATTTCCATTGCAAATATTAATCACAGTTAAATTAACAGTGGATGCAGCTGTGATGTCATGTACACATCCTGCGTTCTCGGGAAGTCCGGACTCCCGTGTGAACTTACAAAGTCCGGACTAGTGAAAACGCGAGTACGGACTTGTGTACATGAGTATTTAAAAATGGCCTAACAGTCTGCAGTCTATGAACAAGCTAACAATGTTAGCTCGGTGGCGAGTAGCCTTCAGTAATAGTAATAAAAATCACACAGCAATAGTACATCGAAGATACTGAAGTTTTGTCCGTCCCATTCTTCTTATGAAGTGGTGTCGGAAACGCATTCCTGCCTGTGCACTGCTGCCTCTGGGTCCATGGTGTAACTGACACCACCAACATTAACAGGCCGCTTACTAGGGGTGGGGGAAAAAATCGATACTGTGTAGTATCGTGATATTTTGTTTGCTAATAATGTATCGATACAGGGACAGCAGAAATCGATATTTTGTTACAAAAAAGGTTTTTGTGCTCTGACTTCAGAGCATGTTGATCCTTTTTCTGAGCAAGGATCCTGACATTCCTTCACTGTCCAAATGTGTTTAACTTTTTTATGGCAGCAATAAACATGACAGTTTACTTATTTTCATTTAAGACATGTTTTATTTTAATTAAGTTTAAAACTTTTTTATTTAATGCAAAATTATATTTTGTTTTAATTTACTTTCAAATTCTTCAGTTGCTGAATGGGCTGCATAGTTTTCATAAATTGCATAGTTCAGAATAGCTATAATTGTACCAGATGGTTGCATTCAGTTAAGTTGGACTAGACTGTAATACAAACCGTTCAGTTTGTCAACAATAAAACTGACTGAAATGAGAGAAAGACTGAGTGCGAGACTTTGTTATTAGATAAAATGAATATTGATAAAGTTTACCTTTATATACAGAATCTGAATATCGCAAAATATTTTTAGAAATTGCAATAATATCGTATCGTGGGATATATGGTGATTCCCACCTCTAATGCTTACATTAGAGCCTCTTATTACATGTTTTGTTTGTGTTTCCAGCAATCAGAATCAGAGAAACTGTATTAATCCCAGATGGAAATTAAATTAGAAAAAAAAAAGGGGGGGGGGTCGGACTTAAACCCGGAGCATTAAATCTCCAAAATTGGAGAAGGCATAGAAAGGGGACAGCTTAACATGAAACAGGAAGTGACCCCCGTGTATTCTATTTATTTCAACAAAGTAACTGTATTCTGATTACCACCTATTTAAACGGTAACTGTAATGGAATACAGTTACTCATATTTTGTATTTTAAATACATGACGCTGGTATTGTGTTACTTCCCAACACTACTCACAGTGTATGTGTAAACCTTCAAAATAAAGCACAGATGAAAACCAACATTATGTTCATTATGACTCACGCTGGTACCTGGAAATACTCACTAAGCAAATCAAACAGGAGGAGTAGTGATATTTTTTTCTTCTCACATACACACGTTTGAAAAACATGATGCCTTAACTTATAGATTTTGCATTTTCATCCCAAGTTACAAAGCCTGAAATATAAGGTGAAGGTGCTCCCTCATGAGCGTGATAAAAACCTGCTATAGTGAGCGCGAAACTCACCAAGCAGGACCATAGAAGCCCAGCAGTCCAGGAGAAAAATGCAAACGCTCATGTACACCAACCAGCCATGAGATTAAAACCTGACTAATATCGTGACGATCCACGCTGGTCCTCCACAACAGCTCTGTGCAACACCTTGCTGTCTGTTCGCGTCTTGGTGTTAGCGTGGCCTCCGCTGATTACGCATCAAAATGTCACCACATGTTAGGGTGTAGCACATCCAACAGTGTCTCCTTCTGCTCCCGTCTCTTTCTCTTACATCCATGCTGCCATTTTAACTGATGTGCAAGTTGTCTTGTGTCTGCGTGCCCAGTGCTGCTGACTCAGAAGCACTCCGCCTTTGCTCTTCCACCAACCTCACCCTCCTACCCTCTCCCACCGTCTTTCTCCCCAGATTCCCAGTCTGAGCCACAGCGTCATCTCTCAGACCAGTTTCCGGGCAGAGTACAAGTCCACAGCTGGTCCGACGGTTTTCCAGAAGCCGGTGAAGTTCCAGGTGGACATCACCTACACCGAGAGCACCAGCGCCACAAAGGAGAACGGCATATATTCTGTCACCTTCACCTTGCTCTCAGGTAAACCACATACATCACAACACATAGAAAACCATGGAAACAACACTGCGCATCGAGGCATGCAGACTTGGTCAGGATGACCTGCTGAAGTTCAAGTCGAGTATCAGAATGGGGCAAAAGGGGATTTTAAGCATGGCAAGATTCTCCACAGTTTACAGAGAACAGTCTAGAAAAGGAGAAAATATCCAGTGAGCAGCAGTTTACTGGGTGATCATCCCAGTCAGAGGAACAGCAAAGCCAGCAGCAACCTCAAATAACTACTCATGGCAACCAGCGTATGCTGAAGAGCTTAATAATTTTACATGGAGTGCTGCAGCATTCAGAGGCTGGAGTCAGAATTGCATGTAAACAGCAAGAATGCATGACTCCATCCTACCGTAGTACCAGTTATTATTGCCACAGCTCAGATCATCTCTGACTGCTTTCTTGAACATGGCAAGGAGTTCAGTCTACCCCTCTGGGGTCTTTTTGTTAGATCTTTGGGGGAGCGAGAGATTGGTGTCATAGATCTGAGGAATGTTTCCAGCACCTTGGTGAATCTGTGACAGTCCTGAGGGCCAAAGGAGGTCCAACCCAGTCGTAGCAAGGTGTACCTAAAAAAGTGTTTGGTGAATGAGTGTAGGTCAGGCGTGTCCAACTCCAGTGTGTCGGAACAAGGACGCATCTAAAAGCTGCAGGACGGTAGCTCTGGAGGACTGGAGTCGGACACCACTGGTATATTAAACAGGAACAAACATGCACATTTCTGCTTTGGAGAACTCGTTGGGATGCCTCAGCAACACGAACAGGGACTGTTTTCTTCTTTCCTGTGACACTGAACACAGCACTGTGCTTTTCAGTGACTGTTCTGCTCACAACCTACAACCATTTGGAGTAACTTACTGTAGCTACCACTTACAGCATGTTTATGTATGTGTTACTCACACACCAGGGAAAGCTTATTATCTGAAGCTAAACCTGCGATCTATAGCACACGTAGGTAACACAGGTTACCCGCAAGAGGTTTAGCAGTCTCTTACATTGCTGTTGCTGTCCATCAATCTGGAAAAGGCCTCTCCAAACAGCTTGACCCCATCATTCTGCACTGAGAAAGACTGTTCAGTGGAAAGTTTCCAGGAGAAAGCCCTCATGTTTGCATGTTCTGAAAGGACCACAGTACTTCTGTACGATGCCCTTTTGGCACACAAGGCCAAGATGTTTGGCATGTTATTGGACAGCACAGAGTCCAGCTGTTGGTGGGGGAGGGGTGATGATTTGGGCTTGTTTTACAGCCACAGGACCGGGAACTTTGCAGCTTTTGAGTTGACCATGAACTTCTCTGTGTACCCAAGTATTAAAGTGTTAAATCTGGAGCCAGCTGCTAAAGCTTAGCCAAAATGGTGTCATTTAGGAGGAAAGTGATCCCAAACACAGCCAGCAAAAAGAACCAAATCCAGAAGTCAGCCTGAAATGCTGCTGAACCTTAAGAGAGCCGTGCATCAGTGAATGCATAGGAACCACAACAAACTGAGACAACGCTCCAAACAAGCCGGTGTGAGAGACTGAGAAAGTCTTACAAACAATAGTTCAGATTACTGCTGCTCAATATACTGAATCATGGGTTGCACTTAGTAGAAAGCCAAAAGGAAACAGAACAGCCATCAGAGATTTGCCTGTGGTATCAGGTGATGTGGGCTTACATCTGCTGTGACTGCTGGCTGAGCTGAATCCGTGGACTGCTAGTGCTAACACTAAATGAATTCAGTGGGAAACACACAATATTGAAATTATGCTTGCAAAAACCACTCGTGCACCCCTAGTATTGCTTTTTTTAAGTACTCCTTGCAGCCCTGTGGCTACAGTGTCAAGTCTGGATTATAACACGGACCTGGTTTCTCAACAGGCCCTAGCCGCCGCTTCAAGCGTGTGGTGGAGACCATCCAGGCCCAGCTGCTCAGCTCCAACGACCAGCCTGGCATCCAGCCACAAATATCCGGTAAGTGGAGTCCCTCGCCACTCGTCCTCGACCACGCCTACAACCCCCACCCTCCACGCCCTCACAACCTCCCTCCCTCCTCGCATCACAGCACAGCCACACCTGCGGCCCACCTCGGCTCAGCTTAGCCCGGCGCACTGCTTTTAGCACACGGCATTTCCACGTGCATGTCCCTGCCACATACCATGGTGTGCACGTCAACACACCAGCACACACACACACAGTCTACATGGCAGTGTTATGTACTGAGATGTATATACACATTCACAGGACTGATTACAGCCACTAAGAAGTGTATCTCAAACTGTAAATAATTCAACATAGACAAGCAGCTTGGCTCTGACCTCACACTTGACTCAGCAGAAACACACTCTCTCACACACACACACACACACACACACACACACACACACACACACACACACACACACCCAAGCAAACTGTAGGTTCGGCTAATGGATGTTTACAACTGTTCATTTGTGGATTAGCTGCTTGTGCATGCAGCATTTTCGTCTGCAAGAAGGAGAAAAGTACATTTGTCTGATTAGTGTCAACACGCTGGAACAATCCCACAATTCTTTCAAACCTTTGATGTGATTGGGACGTTTGCCATTATTTTGGGGGCTGCCTATATATAGATGGAAACATTAGGGAAAAAAATATGGAAGAAAAGAAAGTCTGTGTTCTCCAGCTGTCCGTGTTAGTTTTGTTTGTCAGTGTGGTATCCTGGTGGTCTTCCTCTTGTTTTATCTGTGGTTATTTACTTGATAATGGTCCCCTCTTGTGGTGAAGCAGAGAAATTACAACCTGACCTTAGCGTCACACACAGGAGCACTGACACGTAAAAGTAGTCATTCTAAGTTTTGAAATGGATGATTCTGCCAAACACCCAGTCACGATCATTATTAGTGATATTGTGAAAGATGTCCACCTGCAGGAATCGCACACTCAGCTTAAAGGACCCACTATCAACAGTTACTGCCACAGATGGGAACTGCTATCACGCACTGTATGCACAGCCTCAGTCGCTTCCACCATTATGTAGATGTGCCAATGAGCCACATCTCTCTCTCTTTCTTATCTCTCTGTCTCTCTCCCTTTGGCCTGCCTCTCCATGTCACCCAGCTTCTGTCATCCACAGCTTCCTCTAAAGCCTCGTGGATGATTTGAATGGCTCGCATGCTGAATGAAAGCCCAGAACCATGCACATTCACACACACACACGCAGTTTTGCAAACTGGCCTCTTTACTGGGGAGAGCCAGCATTTCCATACTGTGTCGCGTTTCTCACGAATGTGTCTTGATGGTTCTGGGTGAGCTGCCATTCACACACACACTCACACACGTGACTGTCTGGTACTAAAATGAAAGCATGCTCTACAGTGTATGTCGAACAAACATGTATGTGATATGGTGTGTGTTGATCTCTGTGCAGCAGGAAGAAGGCAAATCTGCATGTGTGATAAAATGTGCTAAACCCCTGACAGCTGTAAAGACGTCAGTCTTCTGGGCTTCTGTGTGTATTTGTATATATGCAAGGTTGTGGAAGGTGAATGTAAAGAAATGTCAGCCATGTGAATGTTCAGCCTATTTCTCACTTTCTTGCTGATAAACAGCTACAGAGGAGCAAGTTTCTCCCCGTGGTTGTTTAGTTTGGCCCCACAGTTGTGATGATGATGATGATTAGGGCTGGGTCGTCACTGATTTCTAGAATCGCTTCAATTCCGATTCACAAGGTCCCGAATCGATTCGATTCAATTCGATTCAATTTTGAATCGGGGAAATTTTGCCTCAGACAGTCAGAAATATTATAATTCTGATCACTTATCAGTACATATCGATATTTTTATATATATAAAAAGAAAGCTGCCACTTGTGAGACTTTATCAAAGGTGTGAGCATCACAGCAGAGGCCTTTGTGTCAAAGTAACTGAAGATAAAACACAGAAAAACATGAAGGCGTTTTCCTGGTCGGGGTTTTTAGCAAAGTTACAGAGGTTTGATTAGAGACACAGCATTTTGCAATTTTAAATTTAAAATTTTAAAAAGTTTCCATTTGTTCAGTATTGAACAGCAGAAATGAGGCTTTCTTGTCAGAAGTAAGTAAAAAAAACCAGCGGCCAACACCGTAGACTTGTGGGTAATAAGTAAGCGAATAATGCAAAAAACGGATTTTTAGATGGGAAACTGTTCCTGAGAGAGAGAGAGAGAGAGAGAGAGAGCTCTACATGCAGTGTGATTTTTATCGTGGTGGAAGCAAAGCAGCAAAAGTCAGAGGAAATTCATGACTATGTTTATGTGAAGCGTAGTTTGGATCGTCTTTTGCTGCTGGTTCAGTCAGTATTGTTCGGAGAGAGATGAAACCTGCAGCTTCAGAATCGAGCGCAAAAAGGACGTAAACACAAAACGAGCTGCCGACGCCTCAAAACCAGCGAGCTGTCGGCTTTCAGCCCCGACGACATGTCCGTGTTCGTGCCGTCGGGGGATAAAGGCGACAGCTCACTGATTCTGATGCGTTGGCGGCTTCGCGTTTTGTGTTTATGTCTTTGAGCAGAATCCGTGTTCCTGCTCTCATTTACTCTTTTAGCTGTTTGGTGGTTGTAGAAATTTTGTGAGGTTCAACCTGAGATTATTTAAAAATGGATTCAGGATTTTAATGAATTGATATCACGTTATCCAAGCTAGAATCGGTTTTAATCGATAAATCAATCATCAAAACCCAGCCCTAATGATGATGTTTAGATTTTACTTCTTACCCAAAGATTTAGAACAGTCACAGTGGTGCACTAGCTTCTTTTTGTCTTCTTTTTTCGAATCCAGTCCATGCTAGCTTTGTCAGAAAGTCGTGTTCGATTGTTCTTTCTAAAAAACAACAACAAAGAGGTTCAGGTACGTTTGAATTAGGAGGGCAAACCAACACGTGAGGGACGTACTTGCATTGTACAATCATGTCAACATCTTTTAAAAGATCGGGAAGGATTGTGAACGTTCAGCACAGAGAAGTTTTGCTCTCTGCTTCCCTAAACCCAAAGTCTTTGCAAACAGAGATCAGACTGTAAATCGCTCGCTCTGTAGCACAGTTGGGCCTTTAAGTCTCATTATTTCACAGTTTTTGATGAGACCGGTCCACATTACCAAGGAATGCTTTATTTTTTGCATATATATTTGTTTTGAGACTGAAAGAGTTGAGGACATAAAAAGAAAAATCAGGCAAGACTTTACACCATCTGCAGATATCCATCCACTCCATAATTACAGTAAGATGTCATTTTTAGGACATTTATTTACAGCACTTGTCCCTGCTAAGAAAGTATCTGCTTACACGACCAACAAATGTTGAGATTTTTTCTTTCTAACTGTCAGTTTTCTTTAGGTGTTTTTTTCATTTTCACTCATTTCACCAACATCCTGTAAAGTTTGGTTCCTATAGAAAAATGGAACGAGAGCGTCAGACTAGCTCGCCACGCTGACTAAACTGTTTGCAGCAGGTTCGCCCATAATATGCTGAATATAAGTTAGTAGGCTCAATACTCCCAACATTAAGGTTTTTCAGTTGGATGTTGGATTAAGTCGACGTGTTTCTACCTAAACCAATCTAGCAATGACTGAAACACAGAAAATATCACAACAAGGAAGGATCGCAAAATAGCAAACAGGAGAAAGAAATGAGCTGAACATTCATGTGTTTGGAGTCCACTCATGCCAAGAGGGAGTGTAATGTGTTGCCCTGCTGATGTTGGGCTTCAGCTCATGTGTTGATGAAGCACACGGCCTCAGTGCGTGGGTTGGTGTTTCTGACACTGTCCTTTGCTCTCAGATGGCTCTCAGCGCTCAGCTTCTTTGCCCAGTAAATCCTCCAAGCGTGGTAAGGCCCAGAGCGTCCGGGAACTCCCGGCAAACCACCTTAACTCTGGCTTTTAACACACTGGCAACGTCCTGGAGGCCCTTTCACCAACACACTCTGTCTGCACTAACACGTGTGTCTGGGAGCGTGTGAGCTGCAAATAAAATATAATTCATCGTAACAAGTCATTTTAATGGAAAGAAATGGAGTATTTTCAATGAGGAGTAGAAAGTGCTTTGGGGGTTTTTACAACAAGAAACTGAATCCACAGGAAGGCTTCTTAGAGGCACCTCTTCATTTTTCCAGTTGTTTATTCTGAGACAAACATTAGTGTTGATGAGGGCTTTTGAAATTTGGTCTCTTTAAAAAAAATATGCCCAGAATGTGCGCAACTCAGTGACTTCTTTTAATCAAACAAAACCAATGTGATGCATCAACATACTGAGCCAATTTCTGACCCAAGCTCCACCAGTGTCAGTAACACAGGCATGTTTAAGTTTTATTGGATTTTAATAATGCTCTTTGAATAGGAAGTTTTTTTTAAAAATGTAATTAACTAATATTTCTTATGGCTCATTTTAGCTAGTCAGTTTTAGCTTTTCAGCTAGGACCAAGCGAGTCTGGGCGCAGGTTTATCTCAGTGGGTGAGCAGGCGACCGTGTGGCCGGAGATCCTGAGCTCGAGTCCGATCCGCTGCATGTCTTCTTCCCTCTCTCCCGGTTTTCCTGTCTGTCTTCACTGTCCGAATCCAATAAAGGCCAAAAAATCATCGTAAAAAGAGGATTAAGCAAGGTATAGAAATTATTTCTAAAAATTAGATTCAAATTCTTTCAGTTTGTGCCAGAAAGATAATGCTCGTGTAGCCGCTTATTCACATTTGTTCCTGAGTCTTTCTTTTTCAAATTTTCTTTAATTTGATGAATATATCATTCTGAAACAAAAAAATATAATTTTTGTTGACTGATGAAAGTCATGAACAATAAGAAAACAACGTATGATGACAGCAGTGTGTTAAAAATTAGTGCTGTCAGCGTTAATCTCATTAAAATGACGTTAACGCCATAACCGCATTAACGCGTTACGTTAGCGAGTTAGGCTACGTTCACACTGCAGGTCTTAATGCTCAATTCCGATTTTTTGATCAAATCCGATTTTTTGTCTGCTCGTTCACACTACAAATAAAATGCGACAGCAAACGCTCTCTAGTGTGAACGCTCAAAGCGGCCGCATGCGCAAAAGAAGACGTCACACACAACGCGCTCTGTTTAGACCCAGAGCAACAGTATTGTTTGACTGATGGCCCTTAATATGCAGACTTCGGACTTCGTTTCCCAATTTTTGCTTTAAGTTATTTTGTTATTTACATAATAATGTAAATAACCTGATAATGATCCTTATTGCTGTTTAAGAGAGGAGCGGTGCTTCAAATGATAGCTGCAGATTTCTGTCAGAATCTGCAGATTATACAGTACAAATAAAATGTTTACGTTGTCTTCCCAACAGTTTCACTGACATCTACACTGGATGGCCAGGAAGCGTTCGCGATGTCTTCTCGGGCGCTTCTCTGGCGCTGATAATTGGCTTCAGTCTTGTGTCGGTGACGTAAAAGGCGGATTTAATGCGACTTGACCGTTCAAACAGCAGTCGCTTTCTAAAACATCGGATATGTATCGGATTCAGTACCACATACGAAAGTGACCCAGATCGGATTTGAAAATATCCGATTTGCGCCGTTCACATTGTCAGACCATGATCGGATATGGGTCGCATAGGGTCAAAAAAATCGGATTTGATGCGCTTTCGCCTGCAGTGTGAACGTAGCCTTTGTGCGTGGGGCTGCAGGACATCAAGGTGTTAGCGCAGTTAGCTCGTTAATGCGATAGCCCCGTCCAGCCCCACGCACGGGGCGATCCACGCTAACGTAGATTTGCCGTGTTAATGCGGTTTTGGCGTTAACGCCATTTTAATGAGATTAACGCTGACAGCACTATTAAAAAGGTTTTCACCTGACAAATCTAAAAGGGCCTCATTGTTAGTGTTTAACAACTTTTTTTTATTGACGGACAATAAAAAATAATTTGTTCAAAAGCCACACAGACTGACCATTAAGCTTTCTAAACACAGAGACATCCAGTTTATGATTTCATAAGGACGATGATGGAAGGCAGTGAATTCTCCAGTCTGAGGGGCAATGGGCATCTTTCTTTATGTAAAAGATTATTTTAAATGTAGTGGGGCCCACTAATTGGCCACTTGGTCAAAGTTACTGGGCTATGTAGTGTCAGTGATGTTTCCACGGTAGTTTTGGCTGAGTTAGGGAACACAATGACTTGATACGATGACTATATTTCTGTGTGTTTGGGGTTGGAGGTTGGCATTGGGGCTTTACTAGCCTGATTAAGCCTTTGCATGATAATGCTTGATACCAGGTTGTTCACCCCTCCTCTATAACTCTCCATATTTAACCTCACTTGAACAAAAGATCAGACACAAATGGAACACATGTGTGCGTGTTGTCAGAGGGGGACGATGGTAAGTTCTCAGGACACGCCTTCACTCTTCTCGCACATTCAAAACCAACACCAACAGATGCTCACTGAAGGATGTACCGTTTTAAACTAACCCTGTAATGTGTATTAATGTGTGCACCGTGCTGTATTGTTGCATGTTTTATTCATTCATTGCTGTTTAAAAGCACTGATCAAAAGACTTATCAAATGCTGTTGTGATGGATGTTGGTATAATGGGGAGTTAACTGGAGCTTTGGAAGACATTTGCACTGACATGGTTTACCGCCCTTTATTTCACTGCTTAATGCAAAAGTAACACAATAAAAAACAATGGTTAGAGACTGCAGCACGGTTATCATGATTATTGTGATTGTGTGCAATGAACTCATTGTTGCCACTTCTGCATCCATTCATAGCCAGATTAATAAACTGGTAAAGATCTGTTGCCCTTCTAAATAGACAGAAATGTATACTAACTGATTAGAGTCCAGCCAGAACCTCAGAGATCTAAACAGAAATTCCTGATGTAGTTGCTGCAGGACAGCGATTTAACTGCAGAATGACAAAGTCACTCAGCAACTTTGTCTTCATATAGAAATATAACCAGGATGCAAACAGCTGAGTCATGTCTGACGAGATGCTTCTAAGAGAAGCTGCAGTCATTGGCACAAACCAACTCTGATTGATTGTAATTTGCTTTTGTAAATTAGGGGACAGTTTGCAGACCTTCCCTCACCAGCTGTCCTGTGTAAACACTGTGCTTGTTTCAGCTGCAGTCAGTCACCAAATGTGAAAAAAATCAATGTAGGGAAAACCACCAATTTTTTTTAATCTCCTCTATTCACAAGGAGGATGCTGTCCTATTTTTACTCTGTTGCAGGGAAGATGTGGAAGACTAAGAGTGCTCTTAGAGTCTGTATCTCTAGAGTCTGCTGAGAATCGGGACATTTTTTAATTTTTCACTGTCACAATAAACCAGTTATTTGATCATCTACAGTACAGACGGTGGCTTTTATTAAATAACACGTTAATGCTGCATTAACAAAATTAGAAAGTAATGCAGGCTCAAAGCCTGTTACGACAGGCTGACTAAGCTTTTTTATCAAAAACATTTTATTAGACATAGCCACTGTGATCTCGCCCTTCGGTTTGTCGACATACGTTCTTGAGCCGTTTGTGCTGTGAAGTCATATTTTTTAATGTTTGTGGGGAAACACTTTTGGACTCAAATGGCTAAAATTATCATCTGTTGAGGGTGGCAGTCTATGTGTTGGTGGTTTATGAAAATGTAATTGAACGCTGTTTAAAGAGCACAAATTATACCATTTGGAATCATTCTTGTGTACAGCAGTGAAGCAAAAAAGTGAACTTTTAAGCCATATGTTCCTATTGGTTTTTCCCTTACAGCTTCATAGTTGTACTATGGTTTTACAGGAAACACTGAGTCCTGGGTTTTTAGTCATTTATTTTTTTTAACAAAGACTTCAATTTACTGATCCCTCTAAAAACCCCGCAAGAAATGTCCCTCTAGGCTAGCTGTTGAAACCAAAAGCTGAACCCAGGTATCCGTCAGGTCATGATAAACTTCCAGTTTAAAATCTCTTCCCTCTGCGGTGTCAGCTGAGATTTGGTGGCGCGGTTCTGATGGTAAGATTCAAAATGTCTTCCAGTGCTCCTGTTGGTTCTCCATGTTGCAGGGAAACTGAGACTCAGAGACCAAAAAAACCTCTCGCAGTAAAAGTGATGGAAGTCCTGATACAACCAGTGTCGTTTTGGTGCCACCTCTTCTTCGTCTGGCCTGAAAACAAAAGCTCTGACTTCAGTTGTCTCGGTCGTAAGAGTCTCCTTTCCTAGCTCCACTCCTCTCATTCCTCCATCACGTCCTCTTCCTCTCCTCATGTTAACCCCATTGCTCATTTGTTGTTTGTTCTCTCTCTCTCTCTTTCTCTTTTTTCTTTTCTTCCCGTCTGTGTAGGCAGCCCGTTGAGTAACTTCTTTGACGTAATTAAACAGCTTTTTTCAGACGAGAAGAACATCCAAGCGTCCCACTCCCCCGGCGCCACGCCTAGCTCCCCCACCAAGCATACCCCCAGCAGCAAGCCCAACCAGCCCCCACCTAATGACTCTAAATGCCCCCCTGGCAAAGACAAAACAAAGATGGCTGCCAGCAGCAGGACACAGGAACAACCTTAAGGAGCCGTAGCTGTGCATGACTAGATGAAAGCAGTAATCAGGTCATTAAATAAGAGAAATTAGGAGAGCTGCTAACTTTGCCCTTTAGTTAAGAATAAAACAAGAAGATCTACTTTTTGCCTATAAATTTTGTACTTAATAATGGGAATGGCTATTTCAGTTTAAAGGTCGATCAGTATTTTACAATAAGTAGCAGATGTAGCTTCGTCGTCCCTACCTTGTGTCCCTCTCTGTGTCCTCCTCACATGTGTGATGGCTTGACTTGTCTCTGCCACCAGGGATCATCCATAATAACTATTAACCTTGGCGAGATGGCTGACAGCGGCCTGCTGGGCCTGCCAGCACCAGGAGAGTTTGAAACTGGAAAAGACTGAGGACCACTTCCCTAGCCCACTTGAATCCACTCCCCCCGCCCTATATCTTTGAGTCTCTTCCTGCTGCCGCATCAGTAGAGTACACTTCACCCCGCCAGACCAAACACAGACACGTCTTGGAAGACTTGTAAAAAGAAAAAAAGCCTTAAGACAGTGACGTTTGTCAGTCTGCACACATGTATACCCTCTCCCTCTTTCTTCCATTTCTCCTACATGTACATAAAAAAATGCACCCACACATACACCTCGGCATAAACAACCTGTTCGCGTGATGAACTTGAAATCGAGATGGGATGCAGGAGCGATGGAAGAAAGCAAAGGTGGACGGATGGATCAACAAACACTGGCTGGATTGTAATTCTTTTTAAAATCATATTTCTTTGTGAGCAGCAGGTTCTTTTAGCTCGCTCTGTGGTGTTTCTGTACATGGGTTCTTGCAATTAAAGACTGCCCATAAAAGTATGATAAAGAGGGTTGGCGGTGGTAATATTATATAAATGAATGATCTATTCTGTTGTACAGACTAAACTATGTCCCTGCTTAGTGTCAAAAAGTGTAGTAGTGGCATTATGTTTTAGAGTTTTTGCCATATTTTCTTTTGTATTCACGAACAGGCACGGCCACACCAGCATTTGAAATGTTTCATTGTAACAGTAGATGGTGCTCACATACAGGAAGAGACCTGCAACAGAGGTCGTGGGGAGTCAAGAAATAATGCAACTGCTAGCGATAACGGCAAAACAACCTTTGTTAATGTGAGGTACACGAATAGTAATCTAAATGAGCTAGTTAGCTAGCTGCAGACTTGCTAGCTAAACTTAGTTTCTCACTTCAGACGGAAGAGCCCATTACGGTAAAAAATAGAAAATGCTCAAAAAGCCATCTTGGATTTAGCGCTAGCAAGTTCTTGCTAGCTAGCGCGTTGACCGTTAACATTGCCCAGGAAATTTTGCTGGTGTGACCAGGCCTTTTTGCTTAGTCGTCTCCTTTTTATTTTGCACTTTGAACACTTATCTTGAGTTACACCATTTCAGTATGTTTTAAATTTTCTCTTTTATTCCCCAAGTTCTTTTAGATTATCTGCAGGTTTCAGACAATATTGAACTGCTGTGTATATTTTTGTACTTTACTGTATTTTGTCATTTTTTTAATTTAATTTATTATTGTTTATTTATATGAAAGATGTAGAGAATGTTTCTTAATGTCAGATTATTTAAGGATATTTTTGTCATGTTTAATTTATTTGACCACTGAGAAATGAAAACATTTGTGTCTGTTTGTTGCTTTCCCTGGGTTTTGATGCAAGAAACCTTGTAATATATGTTTGGGAAAATAATTTACTGTAATTTAAGAATGTAGTTTTAGCCTCTTTGAGAGGAACAAACCCTTTGTTGATAACTGTCCTTTTCCCCATGCCCCGTGCGCGTATGACGGCTCAGAACTCACCAAACACTCATTCTGTAAATAAGCCGAGTTTACTGGCAAGCTTATTTAAAAAAGAAAAGAAAAAAACCACAAAAAAACAAGGGGATCCCTATTCTTAGCTTTGACCTTGTATGGTTGTTTGCATGTTCAGCATTTGTCTTTTCTTTGCATGTTGTCGTTGGAATTGTTCTCCTCTTCCCCTTTTCTCTACACGTTTCAGTTCTTTATGTGCATTCATTTGAATTTGCCTTTTTGTTTTTTTACATTTTCATTTAATTTGCTGTCCTTTCTCTTTTTTGATTACTGTGTGCACACAGTAACCGTGCAATGCATTCTCCTTACTCATTCTCTCAAAGAGGGACCTTGCTGGCAATTGGGTCACTCACTCAGCCCATCTGGGTGTGTGTTGAGTTGTCAGAAAGGAAAATTAAAGCAATACCTTTCATCATTCGCTTTCCTCTTTTTCTACTGTGGGAATCCAGAGCACACAGAATGGACTCTTCGGTACTGAGCGCTACTACTGAGCAGGATAACCATTTGCAATGTATTCCCTTGTGATGTTACTGTGAACAACTTCAGTGCTAAAGGAAATAAATCTGTTGACTTTGGAGTAGTATTTGTGTTGCGCCTTTTTTTATTTTATTTATTAGGTTTATTCGTGTAAAGAAGTAAATCTTATATGTTCAGAGTTCCAGTAGTGAAAAATGCACAATTTCTGTTCAAATCTTGGCCTTTCAGACTTTCTGCTGCTCTAATAACTGGTCCAACATGGCCGTTGTCCTGCAGGTTTTAGATCTCACCCTGCGTCAACACGCCTGATTAGTTCATTACTAGGCCTCTGGAGAACATCAGGACATGTTGAGGTCATTTAGCCATTTAAATCAGCTGTGTTGGATCACGGACACATCTAAACCTGCAGGACACCGGCCCTCGAGGCCTGGAGTTGCCCACCCCTGATATAGACCAAGATGGCTTGAATGAACCTTTACATTGTCTTTGTTACATTACTACTTTGATGGTCCACCATTCTTCCAAAACATACTTTGGTGTTTTGATGATAACCCTGGAAAAATCTGTGTGACCCGTTGGTTCAGTAGAGCTGATCAGTTGCAAAAATGAAAGTCTGTTTCTGTGATCTGCACGTCACCTTCATTGGGTTGTTGTTTATCCTCAGTCAGCCAATCAAAATGACGTAAGACTCTTCACCTGAAATACCTTTTTGTTGAGAACTTGGGGGAAGACCTCCTTAAATTAGCGTTTCTTTCTTGCAAGTAGTGCTACTGCATAAACGTAATGGTCATAACTCCCTAGTAATGCTGCAGCCAAGCATAGAAAATACTTAAATTATACTAAACATCATATTAAAGCAGTCAGTTGAAAGAAATCAATTCTGCAAGTTACAGTTCTTAGATCATTTAAAAGACTAATGTACATCAAAGTGCTTCACAATAAAACCGCAGTGCAGGCAGGGCAAAGTACAAATAGTACAATTATACTTAAAATTGCATTAACATGGTGTAGTGCAGGCAAACTAATTTGAAAGTCAAACTAATTTGTTTCAAAAGCTAAGTACAAACAAGTGTGTTTTTAAACAGGATTTGAACAATTGAATCGATTCCGAAGTACGGATTTCGACTAGGAGGTTATTCCAGAGTCTAGGGGCAGCGATAGCAAATGCACGGTCACCTCCGTTTTTTAAACGAGACCTTGGTCGCATTAGGAGCAGTTGGCTGGAGGATCTTAGTGCTTTCTTTGCGTTGTACGGATCAAGGAGATCAGTTAAGTAGCTAGGGCCCAGGTTATTTAGAATTTTAAAAGTGAGCAGAAGGATTTTGAAATCAATGCAATATTTGACGGGAAGCCAGTGTAGGTTAGCGAGGACAGGGGTGATGTGCTCATGCCTTCTAGTGCCAGTTAAGAGGCGTGGTGCTGCATTTTGGACTAATTGCAGGCACTGAAGGAGGGAGAGTTGCAATAGTCCAAACTAAAAGTGATGAAGGCATGGATAAGTTTTTCGAGTTCTTTATATGATAAATAGGGCTTAGCTTTGGAAATTTGGTGTAATAAAAGCTGGTTTTTAACACAGTGGATACTTGCTTGTTTAATTTAAAAGAACTATCAATGAGCACTTCGAGGTTTCTGGCAGAATGAGAAAAGTGGCTGGCAAAAGACCCCTTTGTATCAGTTAGCTGGCCCAGGGGAACGTGGCTATCAAAAGCACTAATTTCTGTTTTTCTTTCATTTAAGAGAATTCTGGGATAGCCAGTCTTTAACCTCCCGCAGACATTCGAACAAAGGCGAGAGCGGGGACAAGGCATCCAAATTTAGAGGAAAGTAAATTTGGATATCATCTGCATAGTAGTGATAGGAGATGTTATGTTTTTTAAAGATGAGTCCCAAGGGCAGCATGTACAGGGAGAACAGCGTGGGACTTAATACGGACCCCTGAGGCCACAATTAACAGGGGAGGAAGAGGAAGAGTATTTCCCCATGGTGACAGAGAAGTATCTGTCTGATAGATACGATTTAAACCATGAAAGAACATTACCTTTAAGGCCAACTACATGTTCTAGCCTTGTTAGGAGAATATTATGGTCTAGCGTATTGAAAGCAGAAGTTAGATCTAATAAGACTAGAGTCACAGGGCGGCAGTTAGGAGGAGATCATTAAAACCTCTCAATAAGGCTGTCTCGGTACTATGACAGGGTTTGAATGCAGATTGAAATTTGTCACTGACACCACGTCTCTAAGAGGGACTATTTGTTTTTACATTTTAGACATGAAAGGAAGTTTAGAGGACTGTTGGGGTCAGCGTTGCTTTTCTTGATTACAGGTTGTACGGCTGTGTGTTTGAAGGCAGTCGGAACCAGTGGCGTGTCTAGAAAATTTTTGTTGGGGGGCCAGGTAGGGGCACAGATTTGGAGAAGGGTGGCAGATGTAATCTAATGTTAAAAAAAAATTCTACCAAGCGTTAACCATAATTCAATAACCCTATAAACCTAATAACCGAATGCGCTTTTAACTCTTATTAGAATGAGATTTTAAACACTACAAGTGGGATAATATACAAATATTACATTTCATTAAATTAAAAAAAAATGTTATTTAAATAAGGATTTTGTTTTACTTTCCAATTATGTGCCACAATACATATATTTGCTTAGTTAATTATTTATCCCCAAATATTAGGATCGGTTGAACACTTGACAATATAAACATCCCTTCCTTGCATTTTCCTTATTCATTCTCACATACCTTCATTTGTAGAACTCACAGGTGACAATGATGACTGCTGCTCAGTCCACCTTTCCCTGACATTGCTCTCTGCTTCTGGGTGTATTTTAGCCTTCTTAAGAAAGAAATTCTCAATATTTTGAGATCTTTTCATTCTTCCTATTCTTTTATCTCTACTGGTTGGCCCTGAAGTAATAAAGCAAAAACTTATGTCACAAACAACAACTTTCCTGATGTATGACCTTGACTAGAAGTCAGGGATGTCAAATTCTGGCCCTCATGGACCCCTATCATGCACGTTTTAGATGTTACCTATACCAACAGAGCCAATTTAAATCAAATAATCCCCAAACACCTAGTTGTGCAGAAGTCTGTAAATGATTCTTTAAATCAGCTGTGTTGAAGTATGGAAACATCTGAAACCGGGAGACCAGGAGCCTTGAGATCCAGAACTGCACATCCCTGCAGTGAACATGGCACAGGGGTGATTTACACTCTATTCATAACATGGAGCTGGCAGATAGGATAAGTAATGAGAGAAATGAGCTAAACCGCACAGTGTAGTGTAAGTGCTGCCTTATGGTCAACTTTGGTAATATTGATGTATAAAGAACAACACTGGCTGGTGATGAAGTACAGTCAGCTGGCATGGTGACACTGCCAGTATTAACCTGCAACCAAATCTGCAGCTCTGTTACGACTTGGATTATATCTTATAACTCATAACTCTTATGCTAGCTCCCCCCAGCAGCCTACTGTCTGAAATATGCGATGGCTGCAATAATTCTTTAACTGTTATTTTTTTCCTTGGTATTCTAATTTCACCGAAGTTTACTAAACTCAACAAACTTAATATTACTTACCGGGACATTTATTCTCTCCTCATTATCTTTTGCCAAAAAATAGTTTTTCCTAACGTGATGCTCATAGTGCAGAAGCTGATGATGCATTCACTTGCACTCAGATATCCGAGCTTAACTGTTAAAACATAATCGTACATTTGATTGAATTTTATTGTTTTAGCTTTGGGGTGGCACCTGGGGTGGCCTGTGCCACCCCGCTGGACACGCCACTGGTCGGAACACAGCCTGATGACAGTGAAGAGTTCATTAGAAGTAAAATAGAGAGACCGATAGTAGTCAGAGGTTCCTTATTAATGTGGGAAGGCAGAATGTCATGCAGCGTATTAGAGTTACTCATATGATCAATAATTTCTTTCAGAGTCGAAAAAGATACAGGCTCAAACTGTTGAAAAACCATAGAGCATTCAGAAACTGGGGTTTGGTTAACTGCCGGTAGATATGGTGCCCTTAGTGCTGAAATCTATCTATCTATCTATAAAGTAATGTAAGAATTTTTCACAGAGCGCCAGGGAGGCGTAGAGCAGGGATTATCAACTGAATTAAAGATTTTAAACAGAACTTGTGGCGTGTGACTGTGGTCAGTAATAAGTTCTGTCAGGAAGAAGGCTTTTGCAATTTTGACAGTCTTCTGATATTTTGATCGGCAGTTATGCAGGATTTCCAGGGACACCTGAAGTTTGCCTTTTTTCCATTTCCTCTCGGCTCGGTGACATTCACGCTTGAGAGCGTGGGTGGATTCATTCAGCCATGGTTGGTAAGCCCTTAATGGAGCCACAGTGTTTAAAATCGAGGAGCATATTGAAATAAAGGAGTTAGAAAATTCATCAACCGATATAGCTGAATTAGAGTTGGTATCATAAAAAGTAGAGTTAGTAAAGGCCACAGAGAAGCTGGTAATCTCAGGATTAATCGTGCACACTTGGCACAATTCAATTCCACATTACAAAGTTCAATATCAAACATGACTGGGACCGAGCGTCACTTATATCCGTAATGTGCATGTCCAGACCATATGACAATACCAGATCAAGTGTGTGGCCTTGGAGTACATGGCAGGAGGCAATTGCCGTACTCGAAATTTGTTTTTAAAGACCAAGGCTAGCCCTCCACCTCTACCCGAGGTCCTGGGACAGCTCAGAAAGGCACAGTTTGGGGGAAGAAGTTCCAAAAAGGAAAAGGACTCACAGGGGCGTACCCAAGTCTCCGTCAGGAACAAGAAATCTCACCTTGATTAGAGAAAAAAGTCATTTAGGATTAAGGACTTGTTCTTTAATAAGCTGGTGTTGAGCAGTGCCATCCGGATCGTAGTCACATTATCACTTCTATGAGTGCGCCTCAACAGGCGTAGATTGCTGTGCTTCACGCCACCTCTGGAGGTCTGCATCCAACACCAAGCAGGTAGACCGAGTGAGCATGCTGGCCGACATGGCGAATCAGCCTAAAGGTAGACCAGTCCTGGAAGGATGGGGAGGAACGTAAAATATCCAAGATAACATAGTGGTTAATCACTTCGTGTGACTTTAGGTAGGCCTTGATGCGTTCACGGATACCGCTCCGTTTACCCTGTCTCCTAGGTCGTTTTTTCTGTAGGAGGCAAAAGACAGGTGGCGTACGAGGGGAAGAATATCCGTCGAAAGCGGGGGGAAAGTCCCTGGTTCCCAGCGTACGTCTGGCGTTTGATGGTTCAATGGTCGAAGATTCAAAAGAGTTTGACGATCATAGGCAATTAGTGCAAAAACAGCCGGGAAGCATACATAAAGCAAAACGGCAAGCAGTACTCAGAGCTTGGGGAGATGAAGACGGCCTGGCGTACACACTGGCGCCATCTTGGATTCGCTACACTAATAAGATATTCTGTAAATGTAGCCATAAATGAAGCTCGCAGTCACTCAGGCTCATTGGTGGTATTCTTTACAGGCAGTCTTTTTCTCCCACTTTCAAAAAATGAATCTGTTCTTAAAGCCTATTGATGTAGCACCTTTCACCTTATCAACGGTAACACCTTAATATTCCCAGACAGTCCGTCCTGTTAACAATATATGGACCAAACAATTAACCAGTCAATCCTGAGACAGCAGTGCTATCATCTATGATGGTTTCAAACTGAGTTTCCTTATATTTCCCCAGACCATAAATCTTTATTTAAATGTCACCAAACCATTTAGCAGTTTCATGGAGTACTTTTAAAATAGTGTTCCAGCTTCTCCGTTTATGTCTGTCAGTTAGCTAGCTCAGCGGTCCCTAACCTTTTTTGCGCCACAGACAAGTTTATGTCCAACAACATTTTCAACATTTTCACGGACCGGCCTTTAAGGTGTCGCGGATAAATACAACAAAATATAACCAGTACTGGTACCAAAAAAAAGAAGATTTATTCATAACACACGGGAAAAGACCCAGGGAAACAGAGTTAACGATAAAAACGATTAAAAAAAATAACACTAAAAACCCTGAAAAACATAAATTTCACACCCGAGCCTCAACTCTCGCGGCCCGGTACCAAACGACTCACGAACCGGTACCGATCTGTGGCCTGGGGGTTGGGGACCGCTGAGCTAGCTAATAAAATCTGCTAGCAACAGTTTTTCAGATTACCACAAAAACAGGACTGAATCTGACAGCAAGTCGAACACAGTCAACATTTCCACCATTTCTACTCTCGACATGCAGAGTGGAGGATATAAAGTCTCTGGATAAGTACATTCTCCAAGTCCCTTAGGAGGACCAGTAGATCCTGATCTTGGTCGAGTCCAGATCGGGTGCCCAGGCCTGGGTATAGCAGCTCTTGACTGAAACCTCCTAGCAGCAGGCTGTGGAAGTCCTCCCTGTCCAGGAGCTGATCCATGTTCTGCAGGAAGAATCCTTCACAAAACCTGCAGAGTTCAGCTCCTCCATGGTGCTGCAAGTGCAGAAGCTGAGTCATTGTCTCTGCGATAATCCATTTTATATATGATGTTGATATAAGAAATTTTTCCTTGGAGATTTTTTTCGCAGCAACATTTATGCAAACAGTTGTTCCTTCTATTATGATCTTGAAATTCAAGTCACCATTAAAAAATACAATAATTTTTACACCTAAAAGAAAATAAGGCTTGAGTTTTTAGTTTCACAGCCTGAAGCATGAAGGTCTAAATAGAACATGGTCCAATCAATCAAATGTAATATGAGAAATCACAAATTCTGCCTATTCTTTATTTTCTCTGTAATCTAAAGTAATAAAGTGAGAGAAACAGTTTGTGGTGGAGTTTATACGAGTCCTATCATCAGGTTCTGTAACTGCCCATCAAAAGGCAACAATCCAAAACTTTACCTGAGTTATGTTTGATCAGTCTCCCCTTCAATTTCATCTTTTTTGGGATATTTAGATTTGCCGTGGCTACTACTACTGCTACTTTTCATGACAGTGCTTTCATATGCAGTCTATGGTTTGAATAAAAGCTGTGTCCCAGATATCTAACTGTCTTACATGTCAGCTTGTGTGTTTTTACCTTAGCAGCCTTGTATATGCTGACAGTATTGTCCAGAGTAAGGCTTTGCGACAGTGACATTTCACAGCGTCTTTGCAGACCTCGGAGCTGGTAGAAAGTGGCCACTGGCAACAGCTATGAGACAGATACCAAAGAGTAAACCATCAGTGTACTTTACACTATTTACAAAGCTGGATATGCACACACGAGTGGTGAATACACATTAAAATCATTTGTGGATGTGTACTTCTGCCATAGTAATAACCTGATGGTAAAAATGGTCTGTATTTGTATAGCGCTTAACTAGTCCCTAAGGACCCCAAAGCACTTTACACATCCAGTCATCCACCCATTCACATTGGTGATGGCAGCAACATTGTAGCTACAGCCACCCTGGGGCGCACTGACACCACCAGGCCCTCTGACCACCACCAGAAGGCAACAGGTGAAGTGTCTTGCCCAAGGACACAACGACTGAGACTGTCGGAGCCAGGGCTCGAACCGGCAACCTTCCAATTACAAGGCGAACGCCCAACTCTTGAGCCACGATTGCTGCTCCTGTCCAAAAAAGCACGTTACCAAAAAGAAATGTTTGACTGATTTGCCAGCAGAAACAACAGAAAATAACAGATGCCGTCTAAAGTATTTGCCCCGGTGACAGAAGTAAGTCATAAATAGTTTAAACCTACCTCACAGTCAGTGGCTTAAAGAGATTCATCTAATGAAACACAAACCAGTACAATCCACAACAAGCTGGAAATCCTAAAAAAGGCCCAGACTGGAGCAGGCATTGACTCACAGTCTGTGGGACGTTTACCTTCAAGGCTTCAGAGGGAGACACAGACAGCCCCTCAGTTCCTCCACAGTACAGAGACTTCATCATCATCTGCAGGGAAAGAAACAGCCTTCATCCACCTAAACGTCTCAGTCACATCTGCACCGAAGCACAAGGGGTAAGCTAGTTCCTCACCTGGAAGGTGCCGTAGGTCATGTGATTGATGTGGACGATGTTATCGGGGGAATCTGCGAGCAGCTGGCGAAACCTGCCAGGACAGAACGCACATCAGGACACATTTCATTCTTTAAATAGGCGGTGACATTCGAGGCCACTTGTTCACATAAACTTTCTAAATAAAGTGTAAGAGCTGTTCTGAAAGAATTAATGATCAATAATCACATTAAAATGGATACTTTCTCTCATTGGTTATCATAGCACACGGAAGCTCACTGAGGAATGCCTCCTATTAGTGGATGAAAGGTTCATTTCTAGGTAAGCAGTGCTCAGCGCCATTTGATAAAATGAACATTTAAAGTTTGGTTCTAAATCATGATGTGTCCGGGTGTGGTTGGTGGCTCGGCTGCAGGGGAGGAGTGGAGCAGCAGGTTCAGGGTGTGCTGTGTAGGTCTTCCCTATTTCAGTAGCAGCCGGGCCGGAGAGAGAGGAGCTGCTGGAGCAGCGTGCGCCGGAAAGTGCCACGAATAATAAAAACGGATTGTATCAAAATAAAAGAAAAAGGCAAAAACACACCCACGGAGCCGTGTCGGGTCACTCAGTGAAGTTACACGTGCTATTTAAAAAATAATAATATTGGATCCATTTCACAATGTTGATATTTTGAAATTGATCTCACATATTGTGAGAAGAAACAATTAAGGTATAATTATTTTGTATTACTCAAAGGTTTCATGAAAATACAGTTTGGTGCAGGTTAAACTGCTTAGCGAGCAGTACTGTGGTGAAGCTTACGGCAGTGCAGTGTTAGAATCAAGGGCGGCAAGCAGCAACCACAAACAGGTCAGCTGATCACAGCCTGTATGCAAAGACAAAAAAACTGCTCAGGCGTATTTGTCTTATTTCTAAATTATTTTCTTCCCTCACACTGGTCCAACCTGCCAAATCCCACTTTACTGGATCTGAACACGCCTACTCCAATACATACGTACATCAGAATATTTAGTGTAGTGGACAGGTTCCTCTGTTATGAATCATACAAAGCTGCTTCACATCTTAGGTTAATTTCACACTGTCAGCACTTTATAGTGTGCTTAAGTGTTTTTGAGTCAGCAGCATGTTTGGAGAGTCTGTTGGGGGATTTCACTTATCATAACTCTTCTAGACGAGCTTTGCTTAAATAAGAGCTCAAAATAACTTTACACTAGAGCCATGTGCAGTCCCTCATGTCCTTCTCTGTCTGAATTAGAGCTGTAGAGTTAATCATATTAATAATATCTGCTCTCAGTGACATCATACAGATCCAAGAGTAGAAAAACTGTGAAATGTAGCGTTTAGAGGAGTCAAAAGCTTGAGCCGTTAGCTCACCCAGACTTCTTATTTACACATGTACCCTGACCTCATTATTGGAAATTTAACTACTTACAATTTACATGTTATGCAATTTCTCCAAGCATTGCGTGCACGAGCCTATATTCTTGCATTGTATAGTCCTTTTGCTACATGCCCTTAGACATTAATTTTGTTTGCATTGACTAGAACATGTCTGCAGCCTCTTATAGGTTAATAATAACAGGCAGCTAATGTCAGTCAGCGAAGAGAGATGATACCTGTCTGACGCAGACATCAGCAGCACTCGGTGTGCAAAGAATGGGCGCCCGTCCACCATGAATGTCACATCTGACATCTCTTTGTTGTTCAGAAAATGAATATCTGAGCAGAGACAACCATGTAATCCTTCATAAGTTGGTCAAATGTAACATGTTAAACATTGACACTGGCAGGAGGGGAGTGTTACCCAGCTGTGTGGACAGAGTGACGTCCAAAGGTGGGACCGGAGGAACGGGAGACGAGCCGTAGCAGAGAGAAAAGACAGTCGCCAGACGCTTTGTTACCACGTAGTCCTACATAGAATAAAACAGAACAGGAGATCATCGTAGCACTGACCTCTGCACATTCAGCAGCACACATCCACACACACAGTCCTTTATATATGCTGTATTATATAAGAAGACTGATGATCCAAACTCTGACTCCTCCAGTGGTGAAGCATCTGCGGGAAATTTTCCCCGAAGCATCCATCAGCATGTGAGAATGACACTGATGGATGTGTGAACGTGGCTCACACTAATGCCACTGCTGAGTGCTGTGATGAACTTTACTGAGAAATTACCAAAGAACAAACAAGTATGTAAATAAATGAGAAAATATTTTTATAATATGGTGTCATAGTTTGAACAGGTTTGAATTTCAGAATAGTCCCCAGTGCAGGTATAAATGTCCCCAAATGGTTGGCTCTGTGTACCTTTTCAAAAGTGTGGGAGTGGTCGGGAACTACGCTTCGTCACGTTCTGCAGCAGTATCATTGTGACACACAGTTTGTCTTTCATGCATGGGAGCAAAAAACCAACTGAACATCCGCCACCTTGTAGAGCTAGTAGATGTTTGTTGTACTGGGTACAGAGTGTGACACCACTCTCTAAAATCTGTTTAACAATAAAAATGTACCATCGCTATTTTTCAAGACAGGTCAGGAATCATCATTTCTGTTTCTTTTGTTTAGCTGCTCTGCCTCAAACCCTTTATCCGCATTTCCATGAAATTATGGAAAGACGGGAAAATCCACATAATCAGAGATGCAGAGGTGCTGAGTTGTACCTTGGTGGTCTCCAACATGCTGAACATGAGCGGGATGCCCGTGGAGAGAAGCCCGGGGCTGTAGTCCTCCGTCCTGATAGAGGTGAACTCTGTGAGGAGGGAAATGATGACATCGTCCCTACACAGCTGTTGGGCTCTGAGCAGAGACTCTAACCAGATGTGCAGCCTCCAGGGGACACCTGGAGAGATCAGCGAGAGGGAACCAGGGAACGTGTTTGAGGTCTTTGTGCAGTTGGAGCCAGAAGCAACAAGCTGTTAAACTACTCTGTTTTTCCCCGCCGCTCTCTGGATTGCTGCTCATCAAAGCCAAAGGAAATAGGAAGCTGCAGGCAGGTGATTGCAAATGTTCCTTTTATAAAGACGCTTTCAATGCAATATATGGAAAACCACCAAGTTTCCTGGCATCATACAAAGTTTGGATTTTGAATGCTTTTGTTAGTTCATTCAGTTTATTTCACTTTCATTTGTTGAAGCACACAAATACAAAGAGAACGTGCACACCTCATGGACAACAAAAAAAAGGGTTCAAATTTATATTGAAATTTGTGCTGTCAGCATTAAACGCGTTAACGAGCTAACCGTGCTAACGCGTTTAACGCTGACAGCACTAGCTGTCACATCCTCAACTTCTTTTACGTCTCTCAGTGATCTAGTATTTTTATATACACTCAACAAAAATATAAACGCAACACCTTTGTTACTGTTCCCATTCCCCATGGGATGGACGTAGAGACCTAAAATTCATTCCAGATACACAATATAACCATCCCTCCCAAACAGTGGTCACAAATCAGTCCAAATGTGTGGTAGTGGGCACATCTGTCATATTGAGATAATCCATCCCACCTCACAGGTGTGCCACATCAGGATGCTGATCTGACATCATGAGTAGTGCACAGGTGTACCTCAGACTGCCCACAACAAAAGGCCACCCTGGAATGTGCAGTTTTGTCTCACAGCAAAATGCCACAGATGCCACAAGCAATGAGGGAGCGTGCAATTGGCATGCTGACAGCAGGAATGTCGGCAGTAATACATCCAGCACCATCATTTTAAACACGGGGGCCCCGCAGGGATGTGTGCTGAGCCCCCTCCTCTTCACTCTGCTGACCCATGACTGCACTCCATCACACAGCTCCAACCTCTTCATCAAGTTTGCGGACGACACAACGGTGGTGGGTCTCATTAGCAACAGGGATGAGACCGACTACAGAAGTGAGGTGAGACGCCTGGCCACGTGGTGTGCTGACAACAATCTCTCTCTGAATGTGGAGAAGACGAAGGAGATTGTTGTGGACTTCAGGAGAATGCACACCCAACATGCTCCTCTGACCATTGACGGAGCGTCTGTGGAGAGAGTGAGCAGCACCAAGTTCTTGGGTGTGCACATCACAGAGGATCTCTCCTGGACGTACAACACCACAGCACTGGCCAAGAAATCACAGCAGCGTCTCTTCTTTCTCCGCAAACTAAGAAGAGCAGGAGCACCAGCCCCCATCATGTACACTTTCTACAGAGGCACCATCGAGAGCATCCTGTCGAGCTGCATCACTGTGTGGTTTGGAGCCTGCAATGCGTCCTGTCATAGAACCCTCCAACGCATAGTGAGAGCTGCAGAGAGGATCATTGGTGTCTCTCTCCCCTCCCTCCAGGACATTTACAGCACCCGTCTCACTAAAAAAGCCCTTGGCATAGCGGCTGATCCCACGCACCCAATGCAAAGCTTCTTCAAGCTGCTGCCGTCAGGGAGGAGACTGCGGAGTCTCCAGGCCAGGACCAGCAGACTGAAGGACAGCTTCATCCATCAGGCTGTCAGGAAGCTTAACTCCCTCCCGATTCTGCCCCCTCTCCCCTCCACAGTCTCACTGAACTCTGTCACATACACACACACACACACACACACACACACACACACTCTCTGACTCACTCACTGGCCTGCACCAGTTACCAGTCACTTGTGGAGCATTGGACTGCCATTACCTCATAAGACTTTGTTGTTACACTATCTCTTACCGCATACTACTAAATCTCCATTTGCACTATTTGCCTATTTGCACTACTATGCCTCCTTACTTGAATATTGTATATTGTATATTGCATAGCTTTTTTTTTGTTATACGTAAAATTGTATTGTATTTATTTAAATTTTTATTTTTTAATTATTTTATTTGCATTTTTTAATCACTAGGGTTTGAGAGTAACGAAATTTCTATTCTCTGTATGTCCTGTACATGTGGCAGAATTGACAAATAAAGTTGACTTGACTTGAATGTCAACCAGATCTGTCGCCCGTGCATTGAATGTTCATTTCTCAACCATAAGCCGTCTCCACAGGCGTGTCAGAGAATATGGCAGCACATCCAACCGGCCTCACAACCGCAGACCTCGTGTAACCACACCAGCCCAGGACCTCCACATCCAGCAGGTTCACCTCCAAGATCGTCTGAGACCAGCCACCCAGACAGCTGCTGGAACAATTGGTTTGCACAACCAAACAATTTCTGCACAAACTGTCAGAAACCGTCTCAGGGACGCTCAACTGCATGCCCGTCGTCCTCATCGGGGTCTTGACCTGACTCCAGCTCGTCGCCGTAACAGACTTGTGTGGGCAAAAGCTCACGTTCGATGGCGTCTGGCACGTTGGAGAGGTGTGCGCTTCACGGATGAATCATGGTTCACATTGTTCAGGGCAGATGGCAGCTGAGAATGTCCCAGTTCTTGCATGGCCAGCATACTCACCGGACATGTCACCCATTGAGCATGTTCGGGATGTGCTTGACCGGCGTATACGACAGCGTTTACCAGTTCCCACGAATATCCAACAACCTCGCACAGCCATTGAAGTGGAGTGGACCAACATTCCACAGGCCACAATTGACAATCTGATAGACTCCATGCGACGATGTGTTGCACTGCATGAGGCAAATGGTGGTCACACCAGATACTGACCGGTTCTGGGTCCCCAGATACCCAATAGCGCAAAAAACTGCACATTCCAGGGTGGCCTTTTGTTGTGGGCAGTCTGAGGTACACCTGTGCACTACTCATGATGTCAGATCAGCATCCTGATGTGGCACACCTGTGAGGTGGGATGGATTATCTCAATATGGCAGATGTGCCCACTACCACACATTTGGACTGATTTGTGACCACTGTTTGGGAGGGATGGTTATATTGTGTATCTGGAATGAATTTTAGGTCTCTACGTCCATCCCATGGGGAATGGGAGCAGTAACAAAGGTGTTGCGTTTATATTTTTGTTGAGTGTATATAAAAATATTAGATCACAGTTTTAAACGCTCGCTGTTGAAACGTGTTTTCTTTGTTTTCCAGATTGTTCTATATGTCGACACACCCTCCTGTCAGATTATAATAACTCTATCAAGCAGTGAACACTTGAGGTAGATTTTCATGTCCCAGCAATGAGCTTCATAAATACACCTCTGTGCCTGCTTCTTGGTACTGTGCTAGGGCTGCACACTAGGCTAATAGTTTCAATGTGTTCACTTCACTGGATGTGTGTTTTTTAATGAACTAATTTTTCAATCAATTTGATTTCATTCGAGCCAATTAAAGTAACAAATAAGGTGTAACTGGGCTCATTATGAAGCTCATGATGAAGCTCTGTCTGATATTCATGGATATTTTCATCCTGAGCTTTGTAATAAAGGACTGTAAATCTCACATTTTGCTCTCCTCTGATTTCTTCAGCATGAAATTTTGTTTTTATCTGTCACAAGTTTACAATTAATTACGCACATTTCAAAATTATACCAGGAGCCTGCAGTGCATATGTATTTACTTCTTAATTAAAAGTCGATTACCCCAGTTCAGAGTTCCTCAGTTTGACATCACGTGCTTACCCATGTCTCTGAGCTCCATGGTGACGTCCAGGTAGCCGTGCTCCGCGCTGTAGTAGGCTGCCTGCTGCAGGGCCTTCATCCTGTTCTTACACAAACTCGGAATAATGCTTGGGGAGTCAGGAGCTAGAGGCTGTGTTGAAAATTTTAGTTCCTCTTCCTCCTCATCCTCCACTCCTTCAGCCAGGATCTCTTCCAGAGAGAGGATGTCCTCCTTCCTGTGCTGTGGCTGCTGCAGAAGCCTCCTGAGGATGTTTCTGCAGGTGGAAAGGGCAAATGTGTTGCTATATATGTGTGAAAGAGCAAGGTAAAACAGGAACTGGAAAATGTGGAACTTTAAGTCTCACCTGTGCCCATGTGCTGCTGCATAGCTAAAGCAGTTCATGTCTTCATACAGCGGTGAATTCCCATGATGCACTTTGATCAGAGGGTCTGCTCCGTGAGCGAGCAGCAGGCTAACCATGTCGTAGTAACCTGAGAAGATCGGATGTTCTATTGGTGGATCCATTCGAAACATGTGACATGTGACATGTGTGACTCGTGGTCACATGGCCCCTCATAGAGCCTAAACTGGCAGCGCTGTCAGTATACAAGTCATTATTCTGCTAAAACATCTATTCATACAAATAGTTTTCACCAAACAGTCAACCACGCGAAAACCTCAAAATAGATGTTATATTGTAACCAGTTTTTATTTACACCATTGTAATTTATTCTTATTAACAATGTGTTTCTGATCAAAAAGGTCCACTTTGGTAAAGCTACAGTTTTGTCAGTTAACTTCAGATTACATACGCTAAAATGTTCAGCAGAATGATACCTGCTGCAGCAGCTAGCTGTAGTGGTGTCTCAGCTGAGCTCTCCTGACTGTCCAGCAAGGCTCCACCCTCCACGTCTGCACCGGCCTCCAAAAGCAGCTGCCAGCATGAGAAACACGATACTGTGAGAGACTCATTCAGTCAGACCACTGCAGCAATTAAAATGCTAATTTCAGTAGTCCAGTGAAATGTTTTTCTGCTGATGGAGTCTGTTTGAAGGACTCACCTGAGCCACGGACAGGTGACTGTGAAGCACAGCAAATGTTAAGGCCACCCAGTGCCGACTGCCTGGGTAAACAGACGGATGTCTGGCAGAGCTGCCAGGGACCTGAACATAAAGCACACACATACTTCACAACCTGTTGTTATGCAATGAGGTTTTACCTACACCACCATCACTCTTTACCTGCATGTCCAGGTGAGCTCCGGCTTCAATGAGCATCTGCACTAGTGCCTCATCTCCTGCTGCTGAGGCGTACATTAGAGGGCTCATTCCCTGCAAGAACACATAGTAGGTTTTGTTTCTTTTTATTTATGTACATAATTTAGATACAAAGTAATACAATGGAAAACACATCAGGAGACAGAGGAACAGAATGACATCCACCAGTGCAACTATGTACACATGATATGTAAGATGTATTTAAGATTTTTAAAATGTTAATGATTTTGCATCGTGAAAATAGATACAGTTGTATCTCATTATTTGTGCACAAAAGAAGAATCTACATTTTTACATTTGTAGATCGTAAATCAATGCAAGACAAAACAAACGGACTAATGCATCGTTTGGCTCGTAGAGTCAGCTAAAATGAGCAGATCACATATAAAAACACATAATCATTTTAATTTTGCAATAATGAGCACTGGACAATACATGTCATTACAGTAGATGTCTTTCTCAAAGGGCTGGAACTAACTTTAAGGAAGTGATACCGCCACTGTTATCTTCTTCCATCCATGTGCCGAGACAATGCAGAGCAGCTACCTAAACTCTGCTACGACAGAGGTCCATGATCCTATTATTACGGTTACTGTTATCTAGCATATGATAATGTGACTACTCTGAAGAAGAAGCCAACAAATCAGACACACTTCAAACTCTATAAATCTATAAAAAAGAGATCTGAGAGCTGAGACATCATCATGTCAGTGCAGTCAGACTGACAAAGAGTCACAGCTTTGTTGAACCAATTATTCCTTTAACCTTAACTAGCAATGACTTGATGAATTTCTTCGCAAATAAAATTGTAACCATTAGAAAACAAATTATTCATAGCTGTCCCACAGCTGCTGATATTAGACTCTGTCTCCTATGAATCTATCTGTATACTGACAAAGGTATCACATTTATCCAGCAGAGCTCTTCTGACCTTACTCTGATTGGAGTCTTCTCAGTAAATTTTTAAGCAGTTTTCTGAATTACATTTTAAACGTATAAACATCAACCTAGTATCTGTTCCAGTCACTGAAACACAGCTGCACTCACCTGATCGTCTATAGTGTTGACACCTTCAGCTCCTAGAAGCCGGGCGGCGTGGTGGAGCAGGTCTGCTCGGCCACACGAGAGCATCCTGAATCCTAAATCCAACTGGAATTTAGCCGAAGCAGCTTCTGCATCCAGACATTTAAACAACTGGAAACAGCACTCTGGCCTGCAGAGTAACACAGTAAAAAAACAGGTCATATCAATTTAACTCCTATCTGCACGGCATTTTTAGAGAACATCCACCTATTAGAGGACTAGATGCTGCTCATACTGATATCCATACAGCTTGTTTTGATATTCAGGGTTCCTGATTGGAGGCTCGATTTCCTTTTCTTTTTTGTGGTCACTAGGCAGTCTTTCTGTACCTGGAGGATCTAAGGCATCCTTTCAATACAGTCTAGTTGAGAAGGTTGAATAATGCCAGACAGGTTGGTAATCAGTCAACTCCAGCTTTGACAGTATACACGATCAGTGGTTTTATTCTTTGGTGTCCTACCTCAGCTGCCTGGGCTCACAGTCCAGTCCTGGCAAAAGCTGTCTGGCCGCCTGTCTGACATCATCACTATCAACCAATAGGCTACGGCGATGTTCAGCGTGCACCACGGCAACACGGATCCACTCCATGAGAGGAGGGAGGAGCAAGAATGGCCTGAAAAAAGTTTAACATAAGACAGTATAGAGATGGCCACACACACACACACACACACACACACACACACACACACACACACACACACACACACAAACCTCTCTCTGCTCAGTGTCATGGTTGGAGGGTCAAGGTTGGGATTCTCCAGTGATTCCATCTGTGGGCTGGACAGGAAGTAGTAGAGTGTGCGGAGGGCATCTGGAGCCCAGGATACTGGCATTTGATTGGCTGAAGAAGAGTGGCTGATGGAGGCACTCGAGCTTCTTAGACGCTGCATGTGGTGCATTGCTCGACACACCAGATCACCTGCAAAAAGACAGGAACCATCATTTCCCACCACCACAGGCTGTCATATTTCAGAAATTTCAGAAAGTTTATAAACTTAATATATTTGTAGTTATGTCTGTTTTATGGACAAAGAAATAATGTAAAAAAAAAAAGAAAAACAACAGCAATAATGAGGCTGAGATTATTTGCCATAAAGCTCATACAGTTACAATTTAATTTGCATTATTTTTCCCTCTGATCTGCCATTTACCTGCTGATCCAGTGTTTTTGAGTTATGAACCTTCCAGTTTTGTTGACATAGTGGATCACAGTGGGTCTGTAATAGTCAGAGTTCTGGAGTAACAGAGTACATGTACCAGCATAATGTATTTAAAAACACAAAATATGAGTAACTGTATTCTGTTACAGTTACCACTTAAATAAGTGATAATTAGAATACAGTTACTTTGTTAAATGCATTACATGGCGGTCATTTCCTGTTTCATATGTTAGCCCATCCCCTCTCTAATTGTGGTAATTCCACGCATTGCAGGAAGCCCAAACAAAACACGCAATAAGAGGCTCTAATGTAAGCGTCCTGTTAATGTTGGTGGCGTCAGTTACACAATGGACCCGGCGCCAGCACAACAGAGCCAGCAGTGCACAGGCAGGAATGCATTTCTTATTGACCGTGCAGCCAAGCTGCTCTCAGCGTCAAAAGACTCCAACCTAAAGAAACATCTGGAAATAAGTTCTTTTTAAAAGCTAACGTTAGCCTACTGCAGCTAGCTTGTTTTAGTTGTGGTAGCTACCTAGGTTATGTGCCAGATAATGAGGTGCGGTGGCCTGCAGGGTCTGAAAGTGCTCTTGTTATTTGGACACAAGCCACAGGTTATGGAACCAAGTGGAAACACTGTGTCCCAGGAGTCCGACGTCGGTCACAGTTTAAATAAACACACACAAAACACAGGAGCCTACTGTGCTGACTGACACAACACACACGTACTCAGCTCTCCAATGCTGCCAACGCAGGTGGCAAGGAGCGCCTGCTCCAACATCCGCAGCTCCAGCTGGATGTAGGCATCTTCCCTGCTCTCTGTGTATGGGCTGATGTGGGCTGGGAGTGACAGCTCACCTACAAAAACAAAGAACATTTATGAAGCTGTAAGTTTTTAGCCAAGTTTCCTGGATAAAGGTGGGAGTTGGTTTGTTGCATCACTTTGGCCTATGTACGTGGTTGGAGAAGGTTCTGTCTTCAGAAACTCTTTGCCAGTTTTAAACTCATCACTGCAACGTAGCATTACAAAAGTATCTCACAAACACACAGAACATCATGGATACAACAGTTCTGAATGCACTGCAGCACAAAAGCTCTCTCATGTTATTGACATGATGCACCACCACTTCAGGCCATCTGCGATGCACTCACTCTCAAAGCCAAGCAGCCACTTTAGAAAAGCCCATACAGATATACGCCAACACACACACACACACACACACACACACACACACACACACACACACACACACACACACACACACACACACTCGTAGATCCCTGACCATTGTGTGCTTTTGAATCGGGGATTTGCTGACTCGTAATCTTACGCACAATGGAAGCCACATCACTGATGGCAATCTGCAAAACCTAAAGCCCAACAGAATACAAATCCAGCTTTAGTGAGGCATTCACAGTGATCATGTATGGAGACATGAACATGACTGACCAGCCAGGACAGATGGGGATGGTGAAGTGGTTGTAACCACTGGAGCGTTTACAGGTACTTAGTTTTCAAGTTCAATTCAATTCAGTTTTATGTATATAGTGTCAAATCACAACAACAGTCACCTCTATATTGTAGAGTAGATTGTACAATAATTGTAAGAGCTAGCTAGAGTAAGCTAGCATTTTCTGCATCCTTACTATACTCCAGTGTTTTTAAAACTTAAGATCCAGCAGATTTCACAGTCAGAAGACAGACAGATCTTCATCCTCTTTGATGCCTTCCCTGCAGATGGCGGCCCCTCCCTGAACCTGGTTTTGCAAAAAGAGGTTTTGGGGGTCTTTTTCTCCCCACCGTTGCCAAGTCCTTGCTCACTGTGAATCATGTAATTCCACTGGTTCTCTCTATGGTCAGATCTTTAGCCTTGACATGACCATAAACCACAGGTGTCGAGGGCCGGTGTCCTGCAGGGTTTAGATGTGGCCTTGATCCAACACAGCTGATTCAAATGGCTAAATGACCTCCTCAACATGTGTTGAAGTTCTCCAGAGGCCTGGTAATGAACTCATCATTTGATTCAGGTATTTTCACCCAGGGTGAAATCTAAAACCTACAGGACACTTGAGGCAGTATACAGCTCAGTGTATTAGAAACAATATTCACCGTATGGTGTGGCCCAAACCTCATCCAACACCTCTGGGATATACCAATGTTAATCAGACTGTTTATCAGCCTGAGCTGATTCATTCCTCTCTACTGAAAAAACATCTCTGCTTTCTAAAACCAGGCCTGGCCAGAAATAAAGAAATCTTTGGTTAAAAAACGGACTTGTGTAGGTGATAATCGATGCTCATTACCCTGCTATGTTTACAGACAGGAGACAGGGTGAACAGGCATCTATTCACTGGTGCACAACAGGGGACCAGTCTGCAGTGGACAAAGCACAAATCACTGTTCTCTAATACCGACCCGTGTAGGACCGACCCCCCCTAAAGACACGCCTGAGCTCCTGTTCCCAACACTGCCCTGCTTACATCCAGAATCATGAGTGATTAAGTCATTTCCTTTGACGGTCTCCTTGTGTGTACCTGCGGCTCAGTGAAAACAGTGCTCAACAACCCTCGAGCCTGCAAGCACACACTGTGAGAAAGACTGAGTGTATGTGTGTGTGTGTCCCAAATGGAGAGAGAGGCTCAGTCCCCGGCCCCGAAAACAACAGCTCTTTTCTGCTGCATGGTATAATACTGCAAGTGTTTGGTTGAGACAACAGAACCAGAGAGTCAAAGGTTGTGTGCGTGTTTCAGTGTGTGTTTGTGTGTAAGGGTTTAAGGTTACAATCTCAGTCCCGATCCAGACTAAACCAGGAGAGAAGGAAATACATTAAAAAGAAAGAAAACCTCTGCAGTGCTGTGAAAACGGGTCAGATAGTGACAACATGGAACATTTACATGCAGAAGGTTTTATTATTGCTACAAAAATAATTTAGAGTAAAGACTAGTAACAAGAGTAAGAGTAATGCTCATGGCATCAAAGCAATAGAAACTCAACAACATCCAACTGGAATCATGTAGGCAGACCTCTGTCACCTTCTCACTGTGTTTATTCACCACTCCCCATTTAGTCATGAGTTATTATTAATCTCTGGCTCTCTTTAACAGAGGGTCTTTATCCTGTCTTCCTTCTCTCACTCCAACCAATCGCAGCAGATGGCCCCGCCCCTCCATTAGCCTGGTTCTGCAGGAGGTTTCTTCCTGTTAAAAGGGAGTTTTTCCTTCCCACTGGCGCCAAAGTGCTTGCTCATACGGGGTCACATGATTTTCAGGGTTTTGTCTGTTGTATTATTGTGTGATCTTTACCTTACAACATAAAGCACATTGAGGCAACTGTTGTTCTGATTTGAGAAAACGGGGAATCACAGATTGTTGCTAATCAAATAAATTAAGGCTTTTTTGAACTTCTGTTAAAGTCATTTATAACCTGTTGCTGTTCTAATATTTTGGGACTACATCACACTAGAGTAAAAATAGGATGTCAACTAGCTGGGAACAAAAGGTTACCTGGTGATCACATCTTCAACCAGCAAAACTGTGGATGCAGTCGAGCCTCTGCATCTAAAAACTGAGTCAGTAGTCTCGAATTCTTTCTAATGGTCATCAGGGTCAAGTTTAAGAAAATGATCTTATTAATCATTTTAAATAATTTATTGCATAAAGGCCTTCTTAAGTATATCTCCCTGTTCATACTTTGGTTCGTTAAAATAGATGATAAAGGCAGAGCATGCTTTTTGCGACTGACAAATTGTAACCAGACCATTAGGCATGCTTTGGATGTAAGATGCATCCCTCACTTATTTGGCTTTCATTCTACTAAGGACACGGCGTTTCATTTCTTCTGACTTTTCTCAATTTAATTAGCCAAAACCTGTACCCCAGTTTAAATAAAAGTTAATAACTAGCTGTGGTATCCATGGTGTCAGTGTCTCCACTATAGCACTGCCTTTTTTACCTTGACCTGTTGGTCAGAATATTAGAGAGATGGATGCTTAACCCAACAATGTAGACAAGAGCCTGCAGCTACAGAAATATTATAACCATGAAAAAGGGATTTTTGAATTCACACAGTTCACCCAAAAGCACCAGTAAGTCACTTGTTTGTGTAGTATACAGTATGATAATACAGTACAGTACAATACAGTATGATCCTAAACAATCTCAGTGTTTTAAGCGGAGGTCAGAAGGTCAGTCAGAGCAGGGGTTAGCTCAGTGTTCATAACATCAAGGAACCTGAACAGACTGTTTAAAGTCAACTTATGGTAGAAACAATCCGTATCAGGGCTTTTATGATACGATCTCTGTTTCACATGGAGCCAACATGACAACACTAATGGAGCAAACATGAAGAAACATGAAGTGCCAAATGGCACAGAAACAGAGAATCCTGTGCTCCTACTTGGGTGGGATTAAATAAAGCCTCCGCTCAGAGAAATGTCAAACACACAGGCAGAAGATGTTGTTTTCGTCGTATAATCTGGTTAAAACCTGCAGGCCGCATGTCTGGAGCGATTCTGTGTTGGCTTGGGGCAATGAGCGCACAGAGCCAGGAATCAGCAGCCATGAGATGCTGTTAACAGCAGAGCAGAGCTCCAACATCCAAACGGCCTCCTGTCACAAAGAAGTTTACAGTTTGATTAAAGCTGGTCAGGACAGAGCCGTCCAATGTGCTCGACCTCTGGTTAACCATTTACTTTGGTGCAGTTGTCCATAAAATGCTCCTGCTGGAGCCTTCCTCTGTGGTGGAGCTCACAGATTGTATCCTCCTGCTAATACAACCCAAAGTAGCCAAGCCATTAAACATTAAACCACATTTTCCTTCTGTTTTATAGTTTCACATAAAGGCCAGATGGAGATGACATTAAGTGACATTTGGTAGCCAATGAGTGTTGGATTACTCCATGTAATCTGACCCAGCATCAGATACTGTCTCCAGCTGGCTGCATCCACGTCCTCCTCAGTCATAGCTGACACACACACACACACACACACACACACACACACACACACACACACACACACACACACACACACACCAAGTTTACCAAACATTTCAAGTGTTCATTAGTAAACTTTTTTTTTGACTGTTTTATCCTTTACACTTAGTTTTCTTTTATGCTTTCATATGCAATTTCTTTTGCTTTTGTGTTTTAATGCCATTCAACTTGCTAGCTGTTTTGGTACCTTGCCATAGCCCTCATCCTTCCCTGTTACTTCATCCTATTCTCTTGCATGTTAAGCACTTTGGTACACCACTGTTTTTTTGTTTTTTTTGTTTTTTTGTGTCCCGTTTGGATCTTTAGCCGTCAGAATTGTTGTCTTAAGGCCAAGAAAGATGCCAAGCGGATTTATTTTACCAAGTGGATCATCATGGCCTTGCCATATTGGTCCATTTGATTGACCTTTATTATAATTATGAATTTATTTTATTTTCGGTTGCTACAAACGGGACAGACATGACTGGGGGATAGGACAGGGGGAAAGAATGAAAGAAAGAGAGGGAGAGAAAGAAAACCAAAGGGGAGAAGAGACGGTGAGAAGGGGGGAAGAAAGAAAAAAACAAACAAACAAAAAAACAAAACACCTGGATCACCTGTATGGAGAAAAGAAAACAGAAGAGAAAGCAAACAACAAAGAGCAACATAATAAAAAACAGCACCATCACAATAAACTAGCTAGCAGTAGATATCAGTAGATACTAAATATTAAACGATATTGTGCAGCACGCAAGATAGACAGCGCACAATGTGCTTTGAGGCAGCAGCCAAGAAAGCTGTAGTCCGCGTCTGTGAACACCCGTGTGTACACCTGTGTGTACACCCGTGTGTACACCTGTGTGCATACCTGTGTGGATCAGCATG